TAAAATTAAATTTAACGGCGGTATAATTATAATTATATTTCTTCTATCCGGATAGGGTTTTAAATTTAAATTTAATAATAATAGTAAACGAATTACACTTCTCCAATTCGGGTCGGACTTTAAATATTAAAAGTTTAGTAGCGGTATTATCGAATTATTATTCGAATTTTTCTTCCTTTTAAAAGGTTTTAGCTAAGGAGTTAGGATCGGCCTTATAAATCCTTAAGTCCGAATAGGGAGCGGCCTTTGAAATTTGCATTCGGGAAATTCGGTTTGGGAAATAGTTTTATTATTTATCAGTAGGTAGTCGGAAATATTAGCTCTAAAATTTATATTAGTCAGTTCGGGCAATAAAGAAATAGGGTTATTTATATTAATATTATATAGTTTATTATTAAAATTATTTTATGTATATTAAATTTAATATTTTTATTCGGTAGATTTAGAATTAAACGAATCGGGAAGGGTTTAATCGGAGTAGAAACCGGACGTTTATTCGTTTAATTCATTATTATTAATTTATTTTTATCCGCCGAATTTATAATTAGAATATTTAAATTCTGATTAATTTAAAATAAATTCGCTTTCGTCTTCATTATTATTAAATAGGTCGTTTTAATTTTCTATTTAGTCGAAAGCCTTATTAAATAGAGGGTTTAATTCGATTAGATTAACATTATATTTAAAAATATATTTAATAATTAATTTAAAGATTTCTTTAAGGATATATTTATTTAAAAATTAATTAGAAGAGTAAGTAGAAAGGGGGTTGTTTTTAAATTGTTTAATTATACGAATACTTATTAATACTTTTAATTATTTATTAGAAATAGGAGGAAGGGATTCGATTAGAAGTTTAAAACGCTACTTATTTTAATCCGACGTAATTTAATACTATTTAATATTCGGATTTATATCAATAAAATTAAATATATAGCGGAAATCCCTTTACATAGCGTAATTAATTAAATTTAATATATTAAAGATAGGGTTAGTTAATAATACGAAGGTAATAATTAGGTAAAGTAAATACGGGGCCGGGCTGTTAAAAAGGGGTCAGTAGTCCGTAAATTTAAATAAAGGATAAAATTGGTAATAGGTTTAAAACTATTATTGGTATACTATATATAAAATATAGAAAGGTTACGTAAATTTAATTCCTAAAATATAAATAATAATAGTAATTAATTTATGAATAATCCGAGTAAGATCCCGATTTAATTCCCGTACAAATTAGGTTGAACTAATATATATAGTAGCCGTAAATCGTCCCTAATTTATTTGATTAAAGATAGGCGAGCTTGTCTTAACTAAGATAGGGTCGGGTTATAATAATTATACGAGCTTGCCTCGACTTAATTTATATTAAGTTGGGCAAGAGGCAAATCTGCCTCAAGCTGACTTCGGCCTCTTATAGACCCCCCTTCCGGTTTTAACCGTACCAACCAGCAACGGTTACTTAGGGAGCCGATCGAATCAGAGTAGGAGCTCTCAATTAAGGCCTTACGGAACCTATTTCTCGGTATTCTATCCGTAGTAAGGAGACTATATAAGGGTACCCGAAAAACCCGAAAGTTTTTCCAATTACGAGGTTCGAACTCGCAGCCTAGGCAACTTCGGTTAAATATTACAGCAGCGAAAAACTACTACACTTCCGGCCCGCGTCCCCGCAAAAGGGTACAAGTAACCGAAGCTAGCAATTCGGTCGCTCAAGTGGTCTTATATAGGCGATGGATGCACCCCGCAATGCATCCATCATATTAATATTGAATATTTGGAGATAAAATTAATACTAGTAAAAAAATTAATAAAGTTATAAGTATTTTGGAACATAAGAAATTGAAAGAATTATTAGGGATAGCTAAGGTACTACTGCGGGAAGATAGTGGAGGAGGAGAAAATCTAGTATTAGGAGAGGTAGATTTCGATGATTTAAATAAAATACTAAAATTAGAAATATAAAACGACGAGAGTAATACATAAATAGCTTTACTTTTGACCTTAAAGAAGTAAAAGAAGTTTGTAAGTAAAGGGGTATATTAAATTCTAGGGTGGTATTTTAGCCAGATATAGGCTAGATGCTAGAGTCCTAGCCACTTGATTTAATAGGTCTTGGCAAATATAGGATACCCCCAGACTCCTAGACCTTCTGTAGAGAGAGCGCTCGAATCAATTACACAGATTCAATCAATCACACTAGTAAATCTGATACCACTCTCCGTCCCGAACGAGTTTAGGGACAGCAACACAGCGACTGACATCTCCAGACTTCAGCTTCCTTCGCCCAAAGCTCAGCTCTGAACGCGCGGCAACAAGACGACTCCGTAATGATCACGGGCACTTCGGATGTCAGTAAGTTTCCTTGTTTTTTTTTTGCCTCCATTCCCAACGACATTCCGAGGTATCATCTGCCTGACATGGGGTATCTCGAGTCCTTAACTCCAGAATCAAAGATGATGGAACGGTTAATGGGTGTGAAAATCCATGATGGTTGATTGGATCTAGAAAGTGATGTAGAGGGGGAAGAATCCTTGGAATAATTTACAGGCCTAGAAACCGCCTTTTGTACCCCACCTCCAGTCGTAGCCAACCAACTCCCAACATAACGAAGTGCTCGCCCTCGAGCACCTTAAAGTCCAATACCAAACGAAGCCATTCCCAAATCTCAAATTAATGTCATTATCAAAGGTCTTCTCCCAATACCCCAAATTAGTCATTCTGCCTCCTCAAGATCAATAATAATGATAGTAGACTTCGGATTTGAATTACGGGCTAGATCAAGGCACAGTGCTCCCATTTAGGAGCTAGCTCCTCGTTTGCACCAAAAAGAGATGTCATCCCATCAAAACAAAACAGCATCATCACAATCAAACATGAGATCTTAGTCACCCAACCTTGGGGACCAGAGGCGGTTTTTGAGGTATCGAATTACGGGCCGAGCTTTCGGGGGATTGTATATTGGAGGGGAAATCTTCTTTTTTGGGATCGTTTAGGAGCGAGAATGATGATGGCGATGTTGGTTTCTTGATGAAAAACGATGGCGACGATGCTTTGAAAGCCGATGGCGATGGAGGAGCATTTGGAAGGATGGTTGATATTAAGGTTGTTGAGGCTTTAATGGAGGGGTTTTTGTTGATGACGATATCGTGATGGCCAAAGGCCGACTCTCAAAAGTGGTTGTGGTTGTGCAGCGGCATCGTGATTCTGATCAAAGCAAAAAAAGCCGACGGTTTGATGATAGGGATCAATCAATGAACTTTCCGGGTACGACCTCCAGAATCAAAGATGATGGAACGGTTAATGGGTGTGAAAATCCATGATGGTTGATTGGATCTAGAAAGTGATGTAGAGGGGGAAGAATCCCTGGAATAATTTACAGGCCCAGAAACCGCCTTTTGTACCCCACCTCCAGTCGTGGCCAACCATCAACTGGGTCGAGTCCTCGAACCTGCGCTCCTGCGGTAGGTTGGCTCAAGTTGGATAGAGGTGAAGAGGTATGCAGGCACCGAGCAAGGGACATGCCACCAACTGATATTAGATGTTTTTCCATCACAACAACAAAAGGAAAACAAGCAATGTCGGTGAGGGTTTGCTCCACACCGAAAGATCTCGCTAACAACAGAGACCGAAGGAAAGATGGCTTTTTGGAAATTGCCATCCAGACTCTTTAGCATGTCTCGTTCTCGCCGGCCTTCTGTTGGGGTTTGATATTGTGACTCGCGACCCTGCAACGCCCAAAACGTGCTGCGGGTGTGACACCCATGCGCCTCGCTGGGGCCATCCTAGAAGGAGTCTTTTCGGTAATTGCATTTCCTTCCTTTTCTTCCAACTAACTGCCGCGGATTCTGACCCGTTTCTAGTGCTACCTCCTCCGATTGGCGATGTCTGACCTTGAGGGCCCATCTCCACTAGGCTATCGATTTTCCTAGCAGCCTCTAAAGCCTCCTAGAAGCCTCCTAAAGCCTCACATTGCGCGGAAGAGAGACATTCCGGGGAAACACCGCCGATCGACGGGTCCGGGAACCCTCCGTCATATCTCCCGCCGGCTGTTGACCCTGTGGCAATGGCAGTGACGGTGACGGTGCCCGTCTAAAGATATCAGTCTACGCAAGGAGGGCTATGTTTGTTCCTCGGTAGACTGTTGTCTCCTTTCCAGGTGAGCACGGGTCTGGCTATGGTTCGGGGATGACTACCGGTACCCTGACCTCCGAGCTTGTTGCTGCTGAGCTTGTTGCTGCTGAGCTCTTTTACGGTCCTTCTAGGCTTCCAAGGCTTCATCAATGCTTGTGCTTCTCAACCGGACTGGAATTGGTCGCCCCAAGCGGAATTACAATGGCGATCCTGAATGGTACCTTACATCTCGGCTCTCTAGTGAGAGATCCTTTTCTGCAGTTTCCGAGTACCGACATCACGTTTCAGAGTCAGACACACGAATCCAGGAACGAGGGCTTCCATGGGGCCATCCCATCACGTACAGGCACAGTACGTGTTCTTGCAGACAGTGAACGACGGAGTGTTAAGACATCCTACACTAGCCAATCGCATTACGCTGGCAGTACGCCAACGATACACTGCCATGTATTTACGTGGCACTGTGGCTCAAGTGGCTGTCGAAACCGCAGCGAAGCTTTCAGAGGCTTCTTTTAATGCGACCCCCATCCGCTTGCACTCCGGACATAAGGTATCCTCTTCTCGTCTTCAAGCTGTGTACCTATAAGATGCAAAGGACCATCATCCGGGGCCCACCATTGAATCCCCTCAGTGACCCATTCGGCCGGTAGTTATCAGTCTGAAAGACCTTGACCATGGTGCTTCCTTCCGATTCGCCCATTAATCTCGGAGTCAGGTCCATGCTCTCGACGTGGGCAAGTTGGCACTGAGACACTTATCCCCAGCCTTTCTCTTCCAGTGGCCGGATCGGCCAGTTACTGTACACTAATATCTCCCATTTTGAGATGCGATCCAAATAAGGAAATTTAGGGTCTTCAAGGCCCCAGGTTCAGTTTTGCTTGACGTCAATCCCGAATCCTAACGGACTGGCAATGTCTCACATCGAATGGAGCCAGGAGCCATGCGAGTATACCATGTTTCGTATCACCGCAACGCGTGCCAGCGGAAAAAAAGGGTTGCTCAAATCACTTTGACACCAAGAAGGGCCGTTGGAATGGCTTACGCTTCAAATCCATCACTCAAACTCGTTCCTTGAACGGCAACCTGAGCTTGAAGTCTCGGTATCGAGAGTTCACTTGTGGATCAAAACGTTATTTAAAAGATGAGTACGCCCTTAAAGGAAAACCCCAGCCTATTCTATGGGCAGGGCTGGCATGTAACATCGGCGACCAGCATCTTCAGTTGTACGACCGTTACAAGCGCATACGGAGTACAACGTACACGGCCGAACAAAGTTTACGAACAATATCACTGCAGCATGGCCAGCTAAACCTGCCACTTATTGGCATTCTCATATTCCGTATATGTCAACAGACCAACATCAGCACACGCTGAGGTTCATACACTGTTCGATACTTCAAACATCATTTGCTGATCTGGTGGCTGCAGTGAGGTATGGCGTTCCGATGATATCTGACGTCTGCCTCTGTGATGTGTGCTAACGTTCTTCTTTCCGAGGATCGTAAAATACATCCAATCGCTTTGCCCTTTCCTACCACGAGGAACAACGGCCCGAGACTATGACTTCACATACCACTTGAAAATGAGTCGAAATGTCGGTGTGATTGATTCGGATTCCATAGAAGAAGTCTTCAAGGTCAGGCTGGTAGGATTTCTATCCTCCTCATCATGGAAAATCTCCGAAGGAGCACAAACGCATTGGTTTCGAAGTACACACCAAAAACCCAGTCAACCTACAGCAACAGAAAGAAGGAAGTGTCTCGGGACAAGACGATTCGGTGTGAAATTTCAAATAACACGTAAGTGTCCTGTCGTGTACACTTGTCCCCTGACGTTGTTTCTCCGAGACAAACTGCCGCCATGGCTGCAGACTCTTCACCTTCCATTGGTTTTACTGCAGTTGACGAAGAGACAATCAAGACACCTCAGTCACAACGGGCATTCTTGCTCACGTTTCTCGTTACGAAAAGCACGTTCTCAGCCCATCAACGGTCCTCATAGTCGCCACAGGACTCTCTGATCCACATTCCTTACCAAGCATACACTCATCGATCACAAAATGCAGGGTCTTAATCAACCCCCGCAACCATTTCCCCATGTCACAAACCAGACTCGTTGATTCAGACCCTTGTTTTCGTTCCCCGATGTCCTTATTTGAGGATGACTTCCTTCATCACCACGTGTTCCAGCCCTCAACCCGAGGAAACTCTAGCAGCTCTTTGCGGAGGGGGATTGCATGTGCTCTAATCATGACAGCTGACCTAATGCGGCATCTCAAGGGCCTCAAGTCACCAAAGTGGAATGGTAATTTACCACAAACAACAACCCCCACGCGAGAACCCTATCGCTCGACGAGGATCAGCTTCATCACAGCCATGACCACGAAGAGCTATCCAAGTCAAGTTAAAAACATCTGACTGAGCATAGCAGGCTTGTTGGTAGGTAAGGCAAGGTACACTACTTTCTCTCCGGAACTCTTTATGCAAACTTGCCAAACCCATCCCTTATTGCATCCACCCGCTGCCACTCTCGCCATTACAATACAAACCTACCTTCCAGCAAAGGACTGAAGGCCGAGAGGGAAGCCCGGAGGCCGGAAGTCAATCACAGACAGACAGGATTTGATGTTGAAACCGGTAGTCTGCCATGGTAAACTTCATCCAAACTCTCCAAGTCTGAACCGCGATAACATCACCAAAACAATGGTTGAAATCGTATTTTTTACTCGAGCTATTTCGAAATCGAATGGGCTCTATCCCTGTCTGCTTGCATGAGACTCTCTTTCAAATTTCTATGTCGTGTTGCAGGCCAAATGATGCTGAGATTGATGACTGACTTGTCGACGAGGTTCGTTCAATCTCTAACACGAGCTGATTGGCAGAGCTGACCCACTCGCGGTAGGCCTGCTGAACTTTTGGTGCAAAAAGGGCGATTTACCATGGTATACTACACAGTACCATTTTTGCCATGGCAGACTACCGAGTTCGAACCGGAGCCGAGTAAATCCCATTTTTACAAAGCCCCCTCACCCGTTCCCATAGATCTTCGTTGAAGATCCCGTAAACGGGCCGGATGGATGCCCACGATTTGTTTACTGGTGAGGGAAACTGGATCGGCGATCGCAAGCAGGGGACCGAAAAGTCGGAGTTTACTCCTCTGCTCCTTCTTGGTGACTGATGATGACGAGAACAATCTGTAAGATTGTAGCGCACACAGTTATCCGTTCTACCCGTCCAGCTGGCGGCTGTCCGGGCAGCCGGGTAGAGGTCGGTAGAAACCGTTCAAAAGTCAGGAAAGTGGAAGCGAACGATGGAAAGGATGGGGTGCATCCTCACACATGGACTCCATCTCCCTACCGCCTTATTGTCCTTCTTGTTCCTCTCGTCCCTCTTTCTCCAGTCGTTTTCTTGGCTTGGTATCTTCTAGCAGGCATATGCTGGCGCATCTGCCCACCGCCGCGAGATGTCGCAAACCTCAAGGCCCAACCTCGGAAATACCAGCCGAACAAAAAGACCCCATTTTAATAACGGGCGATCGTCCGCGGCCCGTCATTGGCGTTTCTGTAAGCCCCGTTGCCCGCGTTATATGGACCCCGAATAATCTCCCTGATTTGATTTTTTTTTTCGGTAAATGAATATACGCTAGCGTAACGATCGCGTACACTAGAGACCCTTTGATTTTTGCGGGATCATCATGGCCTGATGTTGACATTTTTGGGGCGTCCGTTGAGTCGTTGACTGCCCGAACCCTTCGAGTTGGACATGTCGTAATCACGGCCAATTGTCCGGGCCTTGTGACTGGTTGGGTTTTGGGATTTGAGGCGGTGGAGTTGGACGAAGACGAAGACGAAAGTGGAACTGGTCTGTTGGAACCTCAGCTGGAAGTGGACCTGGGAAAGGGAAAAGGTCTTGGCCTTCTTGGCTAGACTTCGTCTCCGCCGAGTGCAAGTCCCACTCCCCGCAACCCGACGGATCCGTCACGGTGCTGGCCAGTCGGTCCGGTTCCTCAACAACCCTTTTCACTGTTCGGCGACCATGAAAGTGGAAATCGGGAAGTGAAGAGAACGAAACAAGGCGAACAGTCAAAGTCCAAGTCACTGGCTGATAAATCAACTTCACTAGAGTTACCTTCGTCCTTTTAGTTATTAGACTATAGCGGGATTAGCGGTTGGCTTTCCGGTTGGGGTTTTATCGGTATATCGATCGGTAGTGCTGGGCGGAAGACACTGCGTGCGGATTTAAAAGTCTCCGGGAGACACAAAGGGCTGTTTGCGAACTTGCTATTGGGTACCGTAGCCCACTCCCAGTTTCCCGTCGCTACAAAATACAGGAGACTCCACTATGAAAGCGGACACGGTGAAGCAGGCCCAGGGCGCATCGAAAAGAGGGTTGAGTGACTTGAGTCTCCTCAGAGAGCGATTGGTGAGGATGATCAAGGTACATCTGTCAATCAGAAGGTACTTACTATCTACATGGCAGGGATTTATCGAGATGAGCTAGGGGTTGGGTGGTGAATTTGCTCGGATGGGTAATGTTTGCGAATGTTGGTTGAGTAAGCGGGAGAAGTTATGGAGCAACCAAATCCAGAGAGAGAAATAAGATGGAAGCCAAGGCTGATGATGATTACTTATACTAGTCCGTGGATATGTTCGTGATGTTATCAGGCATTTGTATACAACACCTCTCTCTGTAAAGTCTAGCAGTCTATATGCCCGCTACAATGATGTCTAATGAAGTACAAACGCAACCAAGGCAAGAGCACGCTTGCAGACAAATGACTATCTATGCAATATGTTCAACATCTCCAGCCTCCGGAGCACTTAAAAGCGAGCATTCTCACCCTGATCAGCCAACCCGCTAACCGTCAACCCTCCCTTTCCACTCTTCCCCTTTCCACCCACAAACAAAGCCTCCGCAACAACGGTCGCCTTGCCCGTCTTCGCATCATGTACCGACGCATCCAGGAAGATCTTGTAGTGACTCTTGCCGCGCTCCTCCTCCGGCAGCTCCTCATCGCTCCTTGGCTTGACACGAATGACGTAGAACTTGGTAGCATTCGTAGTCGACACGTAATTCAGCTTCAAGTTGGCCGTCAGTCCGGACCGGCCTCCCCACTTCTTGAACGCGGCGCGACCGCAGCTCTCGTCCAGGAGGGTGGCCAGACAGCCGCCGTGCACGACACCGGGCCAGCCCGTAGTGGCGGGGCCAAAGAAGATGACGCTAACGCACTCGCCCGTGTCCTTGTTGTAGAAGACGCGGTGGTAGCCGCCGATGCCCTTGGAGCCGCCCATGGCGCCGGCCGAGATGTGCTGCGCCCGGTGCTCCGGGCTGAGCGTCTCGTACGCGTCCCAGGACTCCCAGGCCGGGTCGGCGCTGAGCTCCTGGACAATCTTCAGAGTTCCCGCTTGCCGGTGGATGAGCTTGGTCTCCATGAGGTCCAACTCGGAGCCCGGCTCCAGAGGTGGCGGGGGAGAGACGAGCGCTCTGAAGCCGAGGCCGAAGACGGCACCGAAGAGGAGGAGAGACCCATAGCCGACAATCTTCCATACGCGACTACGCTTCTTGGGCTGAGGGGCGGGCTCAGCCTGTGGTGGATTGGGAGCCTGTGGATAAAGGGGTTGTGGCTGAGGCGGCTCGATTTGGCGCCATGATTGCGAAGTCGAAAGGAGCCGGAGTTGGCGTGTTACTGGTGAGCAAGTTGTTGGAAGAGTCTTGCATGATGATATTTGTGAAACCAGGGCCCTGGAACCGATCAGAGAAGCGCGGGGAGTGGCTGTTGAGGCTTGCGCCAGTGTCACGGCCAAAACCCGGCGCTGCTGCTGAGGGTTGTACCGTATCCTGGAAGCCATGCTTTCTTTCTATGAAACGGTTACTGATCACCTTTCCGCTTCTGTGATGCGGGAGACGGGATGACGACGGAGGAGACGCGGAGTCAGGGCACCACGGAGACGATCCAGGGGCACGATGTCGGCCACGGGGTTTCAGGGTGCTTGTCCCAGGGTTCCGGGTTCAGAGTGTTCTAGCCCTTTCAGTTACAGTTGCGCCCTATTTATGCCGAGGCTGAGTGACTGGATGAGACCGAAGAGAGGGGTTGTCCTGAGTGGTGATATTGGGTCGCGATGGTGTTGCAGTTGCCGAGTCCGGGTCGAAGGTTGAATTTGCGGTTAACTTGCGACGGCCGACGACCAACTCGCCGGAACCGGCTCTTGTGATTGGTCAATCCCCCGGATTTTGGGGGCTGCCGTCTCGGCAAGGGTCCGTGCATTGTGCATCAAAGGCTCCAGGGAGATCCACCACTGTGAAGAGTGCCTGTCTGTGCAGCCTGTGCCTGAATGCTCGATGCTGTGCTCCCGATGATGACAGGGTTCTCTGCGATCTCGAATCGACCGACGACAACCTTTTTTCACGACCACCAAACCTCAGCTTCAACCGCCCATCAGTCATCACACCCCAACGCTTACACAATGGTCGGCCGGCTCAGTACCACTCTCTAGTCTCTGGAAGATATCTCTGATCGCCGCACGAGCTGTCGATAGCCGAGCACACCCTCGAGATCAGATGGATCGAGTAACGAACTAGTCCTGTCATTTCAAGTACACGCGCATGAGAACGCGTTCCGGAAGTCAGGTACCGTGCTTCCATTGTTCAGATGACAGGCTTTGCTTCTGTCTGTTAAATCCGCAGCAGATCTGTGTTTATGTATGCGGGCATGACATCACGACTGCACGTCTTGCCTAGGGATGCTTACCTAGGTGAGAGCAGTGTTTACTTAGCATGCAGCGTACTGTGTATGCAGCGCAACAACCGACCTCGGACTCTCAGCAAAGAGCCAAGCTGGAGGGTTGTCACCCAAGTTAGGCTCCCAGGCATGAAGCAATCATAATGAATACCTACCTTATCGTTATTCCTTCCTTTGTTTATCCGCGAGACCCGTTAGCGTACTTTCCCCTACCGAGCCTACCAACTTCCACTTTCAGTGCTTAGCAAGCGGACGCGCTTTCGATGTTTCTCCTCGCCTCTGGATCTGGAAATCATGGAAGCCCCAACGATCTCGGATTCTGGAACTGGTCGATGTGGCCGTTCCAAAAGTCTCCGTCGTCTTGATTCTCTTCTCCATTCCGTTGTCCCAGAAATGTTTGAAGAGGTCCAGTTTTCTCCCTTTCTCTCCCGAGACTCTTCTATAAGAGTCTCAGCTCTGGACTCATTCAACGTGTCGGTTGCATCTTTTAGCACCGTCCCCCATCCGGACCCCTCTCAGACAGGACAAAGCCAGATCGACGCCAACGCCAACCTCCATAGGTTTCTTTCTCATATGCACAGGTCTTGCTTCATCTCTCATGACAAGATAGGCTTCTAGGTCCAGATCTCACTTGTGGCACCTTTTCGGTTCTGTAGGGTAATAGCTCCAGCAAGCTATCAAGACTGCCCAACATGTACGACTACGCTTTCGTGTGAGTAACAAAATTTGAAAGCCACCACCCACTAGTCTTGGGGAACAACATTGCTGATTAGATACACCATAGTCACTTGAAGTTCACAATACCCCTGGCGGTACTTCTCACAGCTATCGCCTATCCGGTTCTCAACAGGATACATGTGATTCAAACAGGCTGCCTCATCTTCATCGCCTTTACCGCCGCTCTGCCATGGGATGCCTACTTGATTGAGCAAAAAGTATGGTCCTACCCACCAGAAGCCATCGTTGGGCCGCGTTTGCTTGGGATCCCCTTCGAAGAGCTCTTCTTCTTTGTGATACAGACTTACATCACGGCCCTCGTATACATTCTCTTCAACAAACCGGTTCTGCACGCGTTACACCTCAACAATCAACGAAACCCACCAGCATGGATGAGGGTTGCCAAGATTACCGGCCAGCTACTCCTCGTAGCCTTGTCGGTATGGGGATGGAAGGCCGCTCAAGTAAATCAGGAAACAACTTATCTCGGCTTGATCCTTGTTTGGGCGTGTCCGTTCTTGTTGGCCATCTGGACCCTCGCTGGGCGCTTCATTCTCAGCCTACCATGGTTCGCGACGGTGCTCCCGGTATTCCTGCCTACCTTCTATCTCTGGGCAGTAGATGAGCTTGCCTTGCATAGGGGCACTTGGTCAATCGGATCGGGGACGAAGCTCGAGTTTTGTCTGTTTGGGAAGTTGGACATTGAAGAAGCCACGTTCTTTCTGGTGACCAACATGCTCATCGTTAGCGGTATGGCTGTGTTCGATCAATATCTGGCCGTCATTTACGCTTTCCCAACTCTGTTCCCCAAGGTCAACCGGTATCCGACACCTCTTATGCTCGTTCAGAGTCGTCTTGTAAACACTGCCAAGTACGACCTCGAGCGCATAGAAGGCCTGAGAGAAGCTGTTGAGAGACTTCGCCTGAAGAGTAGGAGCTTCTACCTTGCCAACTCGCTCTTTTCTGGTCGACTTCGCATTGACCTGATCCTGCTGTAAGTACCCATTCAACCTGCCAACGTTCAGAACCTGGGCTAACAGACCATTTCAGTTACTCCTTCTGCCGCCTGGCTGATGATCTGGTTGATGACGCCAAATCTCGCCTCGAGGTTTTGTCATGGACCGCAAAGCTTAACCACTTCCTCGATCTGCACTACGGCGACTCAGACGCCACCGAGGACCCCAAGCAAAAGGCCAAGCGAATCGACGCCTACATCAAAGAAGCTTTCCCTCCATTTGCCTACCAAGCCCTCCACCTCCTGCCCACTCAAATCCTCCCTCCCAAGCCTCTCTACGAGCTCATCCAGGGTTTCGAGATGGACTCCCAATTCACCTTCCATGGCAACTCCGACTCTACCGATCTCAAATACCCCATAGCCGACGATAAGGACCTCAAAACCTACGCCATCCGCGTCGCCGGCACCGTCGGCGAGCTCTGCATTGCCCTCATCATCCACCACTGCCTGCCGGACATGTCAGACAGCCAGAAGCGCCGACTCGAGTCCGCCTCGTGCCGGATGGGCATCGCGCTGCAGTACGTTAACATCGCTCGCGACATCCTCGTCGACGCACGCATCGGGCGCGTTTACTTGCCCACCACCTGGCTCAAGGAGGAAGGGTTGACGCACAAGATTGTTTTGGATAACCCGGAAGGTCCCGAGGTCATTGAGCGGATGAGGAGACGGTTGCTGGATAATGCGTTTGAACTGTACAGGGAGGCCAGGCCGGAGATGCAGCGGATACCGAGCGAGGCAAGGGGTCCGATGATTGGTGCGGTGGAGAATTATATGGAGATTGGAAGGGTGTTGAGGGAGAAGAAGGAGGGGACGGTGTTTGTGAGGAAGGAGGGGAGGGCTACGGTGCCTAAGCAGAGGAGGTTGAGGACGTTGTTGAGGGCGTTGTATGAGCAATAGTCGGTGGTGGTGGTGTTTGGTCGTGTGAGGTTAGTTGGATATGGTGTGTTTCGGCGTGGAAGGCTTGGGGGGCTTTTTGGGTTTCCTTTTGTTTCCTGTACATATCGTCCTTTTTACGTATAGCGAAAAGTTAATGACTGATGAGAGATGATATGAAATGTTGGAATCCCGGAAGAGTGTGAGTGGACAATGAGGGTTGGGATCCTGGTGCTTCGGATGAGGTGAGGCGCTGTCTTCAAAATGTGGTCGAGATTGAGCTTATCTCGATTACATCAGATCGATTACGGTACTTGTAAGTCGGTGCGTTGCATATGTGGGATTTGTTCACATCACCCTCGCACGTGCCAGATGTGCTTTCAGATTGCATGTGCATCATGTCGGTACGCTGCCTGATGGATATGTACCTACTTTATATCGCCAACTTCAGACGAATGACTTGCAATTTGTTTATCCGTGTTTTTTTACATCTGTAGCCGTCTGTTTTCTAAGAGGACCTTGCCAATAAACAGCTTATATGGAGGCCCCAAACTTGTATAAACAGTGATCTCCGTGATAAGTCACGTTGGTGCAAGGTTTCGTCCAAAAGATGACTTTCGAACAAGTTCAAGAAACAAACTTCTTCGGTCAGACTCGTCAGACCCCAAAAATGTTGCACAACCACGACTTCTACCGTGTTCCACCATGTTCACCAAAGCTGGCCACGAGGGCAGCAATCTGTGTCAGTTTTGGCTTGTGAACATCACTTGCCTGCTTGCGTCGGCCGTCGGTTCGCTGGCTGGAAAAACTTGTCCACCTGCCAACACTGTATCTAAAACGCTTTTGGACACTCTCGAAACTGCCACGACTTCGATTTCTTCAAAAGTGTACGACATCACCGACTCTCTTTAATGTCTCGTCAGTTTCTTCTTTTTCCTTGGCAGATAGCTTGTCGTCTCGGGCTTCGGCAAGTGTAACCGTTCATCAAACCCACCATCCAGGCGAAAAAAGCAAAAAAAGGAAGAGAAAAAAAAGTTTCCGTGAACTTGAACTGATGAAGATCATATGAAGTCTTCCATTCGGAGTTTGATATCATCCAACATTAACTCCTTGGCGTGGTTCTCTACTCCGAAGGCTGTCACCGATCCCGATCCAGCGGGGGGCCTGGACTCGATGAAAGGTGGAGGAAGGAAAATAGGATGACGTCGACGGCCTTGGAGAAAAAGGGTCCACACAATCCATGATGGAAAGATGAGGTGGTCAATGCTTTTTGTGCACGCGCTAAGTGGAGTAGTGGGCACTATCAGCTTCATAAAAGCCGAATGATTGGTGGGAAGCACGCCAAGCACACATGCTTCAAGAGATAAGTGGAGCTTTCCGCTTTTCTTTGGAGTGTCGCAGTGGCGCACTTGCACTGCTGCACTGCACGAGCGGGTTCCCGCAAACAGCATTTGATGGTCGGCATCTGCCATGAGCTCTGGGCCTTTTCTGGGCGCTGCGTCATGCATCGTCCGTTGGTCTCCACCAAGCAGACGTGATGATTGTTCACTCCTCGACAACCGCAAAGCCTTCATTCTGATCCGTTCATTCTGGTGATCAGTGGGTAGGGTAGAGGTAGGCTCAGCTTGTTGGTAACGGGATGGGAGTCAATGAGAGAGATGGAAATGGATGTGTACGTATGTGGTGTGGGTGCTACCCCAAGGGTTTCGATCTGAAGACCCTTCTCCCTCCCACAACCCATCCCTTCAACATTCCCAGATAAATCCTCCAGCCGCACAAATTTCCTGTCGTCTGTTTCGATCTCTTGAGCTTTATTCCATCCAAATTAATACCTTGTGATACCCCAGAGCCGTTCTCAGTACGGTGATTTGGTCGTTGGGTGGTGATCTGTTGTCATTTCCCTCTTATACCCTCCTCCTTCACTCAGATACCCGGCGCACATATCCATCGATTTTCTTTCAGCCATCTATCTAGGCCGTGGTTGCTTCCATCACACGGCAATTGGGGACAGTACATAAAGGTGGTGCAAGTAGGTGCACTGCATCAACGACGTAAGTCGATCCGAACTTTCTTTGATTCCGCTCTTACCGATATCTTGACCAACACTTACACCGCTATTATAACAGCATTTATAACCCTTAAACCTAATAATATCCTACCCTTTTCTGTTACAACCATTACTATCAACCTAAAAGCGTCTACGGACAGTTCATCAAGATGAACAGAACTCGTGAGTTGATACCTACTAGCCATCCCGCTTACAACCATCAACCGCATGATCTCTGTAGGTAACTAACCGTTCCTTCCTCCACCACACACAGGCCCCCTCCTCGCCCTCCTCTCCCTCCTCTTCCTCGCCATCTCCCTCGTCCTCCTCTGGTTCGTCATCCTCTCCGGCATCACCCGGACCTCGCCCCTACGACAGACCTACTTCCTCCGCGCCGACACCAGCGGCATCAGCGGCGCCCGCGCCGTCTCGCAATGGACCTACTTCAAGGTGTGCGGCCTCAACAACCAGGACTGCGGCCCTGCCCGTCCTGCTCTGCCCCTCGGTGATGCCTGGGACAGCAACCCTTCTGGTGCGCCCGCTGCTCTGACCGGCAAGTATGGCGGACACACGACTAGCCACTACTTTTGGTACATGTGGCGTTTCGGCTGGGTGTTCTTCCTGCTTGCGCTCTTCTTTGAGACTTTGGCTTTCTTCTCGGGCTTCTTGGCTTGCTTGGGACGCGTGGGCGCTGCGGTGTCGGGAATGATTGCTTCGTTGGCGTTGGTGATGTTGAGTGTGGCTGTTGCTTTGATGACGTATGTTTTTGCGACTTGCTTTTCTATCTCCCCTTTCCCACGACCACTACCCCCTGTCCCAGTCCAGTCCCAGTCCTACCACCTTCTTCTCTCCCCCACAAATACTCGACAAACAAACAACCAACTTCCAGACATGTAACTAACAACCCCTTCACAGCGCCACCTTCGTCAAAATGCGCAACCACTTCAACCGCGACGGCCGCGACGCCCACCTGGGCCGCTACGCCTTCGGCTTCTCCTGGGGCGCCTGGGCCGCCTTGGCCATCAGCACCGTGCTCTTCCTCCTAGCCATGCTCCAGCGCGACAAGAACCACTATAACAACCGCCGCTCCACTTATGCCACCAACGGTCACGATCACGTTGTCGCCGACGGCCCCGTGACGGGAACCGGTGGAAGAAAACGCGGCGTTTTCAACTGGGGCCGCCGCAGTGGCAAGTCCTTCGATGGACGGAGGGTTAAGGATGATTACTAAAATGCAATGCGCAATTATGCAGCAGCAAGCAAACCGATGATAACGCCATCGCCGGCGCCGGGGATGAGCGGTGGTCCGGCACCGGCACCGGCACCGCCGGCGTTGGGAACGACGACTGTTGATTATCATTCGAATGCGGATCCGTATGCGGCGCCGAATCGACCTGCGAGACCTGCTAGGTTTGATTTGGCTGCCTAAGCTCCAAAGTCGGCAGAGACAAAAAAAGAGAAGAAAAAAAAGGATGAGAAGGTCTGGACATGCGACCGATCTATGGCACGGCGCATAGCCAGTTTATATGAGATGGTGGCACAATGGTGCAGACAGTTACGACGGAAGACAGAACACAAAGTTTTGTGATGATGAAATGAAATGATTGATACCTTTCCAGGAGGGAATGACACGTTTGGTTTTGTTTGGATTGGGTTTCTCTTTTTTTTTTTTTTTTTTTTTTTTTTTTTGGTGGGATTTTGTGTGAGGAGGAGGGTGAAGAGAAGGCATGGAAAGAGATGGAGGAAGGGGAAAGAGGAGGGCAAGACTGTGATATACCTTGTGAGGCGCGAGCCTCTTTCTTGATTCGCGGTTGTTACTTGGTCTTTCTGGCGTCTAAAGTCCTATTCTCTTAATTGAATAATATGTCGTTTATTTGATGCGCTGGTTGATCAGTTTGATTCGTGATGTGTGATTTGGAACAGGCTGTGGTGGTTGAAGAAACGGATGTTTGAAAAGCATGTGAATATTGATGTACCTACTACTAAACATGTCTACATAATGAGATGAATGTAGGCTACTCGAGTCCATCGGTGGGATTTGGAGGGGACACACTGTTTGACACAGAAGGTGAAAGAAGGAAATGTTGCTATTTTGTGAAAGGAAACAACACACAATATCAAGGGGCTAGGCCTCCATTTATTGTTCATACACCTAACTCAACATCACTTCATGTCACTGGATCAACATCTCAACGGTGGAAAAAAATTGTGATATAGATGGATAGATAAAACAACAAAAACCCCCAAGGAAATTTCCGGATTCTACCGTGTACGTGAATCCCAGTAATGCCCATGCTACCCTCCCTTCCTTCTTTCCTTCCCCCTTATTTGTACTTGTATGATTGTACACACGCTATGAATGAACAGGTGGATAGAAAAAAGAACAGGACAAAATGAACCCATTCAACTAGCCTCCGAGACACAGACAAAACAGACAGACAAACCACAACTCATCTAAGCGGTGATAGCCGGGCTCACTTGATCCAGCGGCGCAGCGTGCAGAGCGGGCTTCTCAGCCTTATCACTGAGCAAGCCCTTGAACTTGCGGTCCAGGACGTTGGTGACCCACTCAGCCACCTCACGATCGCCCTGGTCGTTGATCGGTCCGTTGCTGTTGATGTCGAGGGAGCCAGTGGCGTCGGCGAGCTGGTCGTCCGCGGCCTTCTCTTCGGCTTCTACTTCTTCCGTGATGGTCTCGGGCCTGCCGAGGGACTTGATCCATGGGTGCATCAGCAGCATCGGGTAGGTGTGGCGCTTGGCAGGGATCTTGTTGAGACAGGACTTGACAAAGTCCTTTGCTGTGCCGGAGTAGCCCTCGCTTGGGAGGTCGGGAGGGTCACCCTCAACGATGGCCTGGATTTGGTCAGTTATGTGTATACTTCAAGGATGTGGATAGGGAAGGACAAAGAAACTTACACTGAGTTGACTGAAGATTGTGCTAGAAACCTCAGGCGGGTACGGGTACCGACCCATGGCACACTCGATGATGGTGAGACCCAAACTCCAAATATCGCTTTGTACGCTGTAAGTCCCGTCGGCCGTGCCGCCCGCAGCTGACATGCCACCACCGCTGATGCGTTCTGGTGCCATGTAACTCTGGCAGCCAATGTTGGTCTTTGCTATACTGGCAACGAGATTTCCCGAAACGCCAAAATCGCAGATCTTGACTTGTCCATTCGTGTTGACCAGAATGTTGGTGGGCTTGACATCGCGATGGATGATGTTGTGATCTTCTTTCAGGCACTTGAGGCCCATAATCGTCGCATATGTGATCTTGCGCAAGACATTCTCAGGGATACCTCCCGCATATAGCTTGTCGATACTGCCGCCATCCATGTACTCGATGCACATATAAACCGCGCCTTCTTGGTAAAAGGCACCGTAGAAGTCGATGATGAAGGGCGAGGCGCACTCGTGTAGAATTACGAGTTCCTTCAGAATGGTGGAAAACTTGGATTCGTCCAGTTCGAGCCTGATTTCCTTCATCGCCATGACCTTGCCTGAAGTGCCACGCGCAGCGGCAGAAACAGGACTTAGTGGCGAGTTATCAGAAACGTCAGCATCTGATGCCGACGCTTGTCGAGATAAAGACTGCTTGGTGTTCAAGCCTTGCCCAAAACGTGGGAGCTTGGGCTTAGTATGTCGTACTTTGTAGACGGTACCATAGTTGCCCTTGCCTAGCTCGTCCATAACTTCAACCTCGTCTAGCGAGATCCTAAAGGTCTGTCCGTTGGCAAAGTTGACGCCTGTCCGTGTGATAGTTGCTGCGTCTGCAAAAGTGATCCACCCCTTTTCTGCGTCGATGTAGTTCTTGAAATCGCTCAGCTTTGATCCGCGCCCTTCTCCATTGATGGCTGGCGCTTTGGCGTCTTCGGCACCCATGTCTGATAGTTTCGGCGTGGCAGTCGCCGGCGACCCGGGCCCTCCTAGTAACCCTCCGAGCTTCATTGCTCGCCGTTCGCTCAGACTAGGGGCCTTTTTAGCTCCCACACCGGCGATAGCAGGTGCGGATTTGGGGAAGCCTTGGGGCGGTGGTCGTGCTATGCCTGGAGGTAACCGAAGGCCACCGGGCAGGCCGCCGGGTGCCGGACCACCGTGGTTCATGTTCAAGTTCATGCTGTGTCCCATCCCCCCCATCCCCCCCATGCCTCCCATGCCTCCCATGCCCCCCATACTTCCCATCCCACCCATACCAGATCCGATGGGGCTCATGCCCAGTCCGCTGTTCTGGGGCGACATGCCGGGTCGGGGAGCCATGTTCATCCGTTGTTGATGCAGAGCTCGTGCCTTTGCCATGAGGTCCGTTGGGAGATTTGCTGCGGACGCCGCAGGTCTTCGTGCGGCATTCAGTGTCCCAGGAACACTCGAACTGGGGTTCATCAGACTCGTGTGTTGTGGGTCGGAGATGGTCCGTAATGATGGCACTCTGCGGGGCAGATCGCCTTCTGGTGTGAAGCCAGGCATCGCATCTGAACCTGAGCTCGGCGGGTCCATGGGCGTGCTTGCCTCGGACGACTCGTCGATTGAGCCCGGAGAAGCCGGGTTGCTCTCATCGTCATACTCGGTTGGGCTGGCCGGGCCGTGATCGGGGTCGTGGTCTGACATGATGGTGGCAAGCAGTTTATCTTGAGCGATGTGCGGTACTAGTTCTTTTTGCTGCTGACAAGTGCCAAACCTCTTGTCGGTGGGAAGATCTTTAGCAATATGCGGCGCAAGCTATTGATGCTGAAGCGGCTCTTCGAAGAGGGGCGGCAGATGTATATATCGAGACAACGTGGGTGAAACGTTTTTGGGTCGAGAGGCTACCCGGACTCGAGGTTGGGTCGGTATAGTCGTCGTCGAAGGGGAGAAGTTTTCGTTGAGGTTTTGTAGGAGGGTGGAAAGGGCGTCAGAGGAGAGAAAATCGAAAGCGCAACATCCAAAGATATGGCTCTGGTCTCGCGAAGAGCTGCAAGGTGACGATGTTTGCAACCGATGACAAAGCACCACGCTACGATGGCTGGCCTGCTATAGATTGACGAGTGAGCGGGCAGGCCAAACAGAAAGTGAGCTAGTAACGCGAGTGCAAGCTGGGGTAGATAGTAGAGAGCTCTGGACACGGGCAAGAGGAACAGCGGCAGCTGAGACTTGCAGGCTCGTGAACATGGGGCGGGGAGGTTGGAAGCAATCCGTCTCTGTGTGAATAGAGGTAGGAATATGGAAGAGGAGGAAGAGGAAGAAAAGAAAGACAACGTACTAGTCGAAGTAGGTAGTGCCTGGCGGAGTGAAGGTCGAGTCGGTATGGACCCGGTCCAAGATCCAGTCCAGCTAAAGTAGGGAGGTACCTAAGTAGGAGACAAAAGGTAATGGAGGTGAGGTGGTATCGGCATTGGCTGGCGGGCGGGATTGGATGTAGGACTTCACTTTGTTCACCAACTTCTTGGTTGAAGTCACTCGAGGTTCCCAGCCTGGAAGGACAGGTACTGCTGCCGGCGGGCACCTCATCCACTTCAGTGGGCGGGCAGTGGGCACCTCAAAGCACTGGGCAGTGGAGACGCCGAGCAGCACGGAGCAGGGGCTTTTGCTCCGCAATTTGCTAAAAACGCCCCTCTACCCGGACGTGGTCCATGCCTTCCACTTCCGAATTCTCCATCTCCATTCTCCCAAGCTCGCAGGGAATGCCTGGGATATGCCGATGCCGAGAATAGTGCCTCCATCCTCCAAGCTAACGCTCCAAGGAAAAAGTCACAGAATTCGCTTCGCCCAACAAGCATCTTGTTTTTTTTTTTTTTTTTTTTCTTTTTCTTCCGACCATTCAACGTTTGAGGAAGCTGGTATTGGTCCGCCAATGTACGGAGCTCGCTCCAGCCGGTCCGCGGAGTCGCGGGCACCTGACCGGGTCTTCACTAATACTGCGCAGTTAGCTACGGCATGTACTATCCTATTTTACTGCTAGCTCGAGCCGGACACAGACCGTCGACAACGAGGTCGGTCGACAGAAAAAAAGACGGAAGACTGGGCATGTGCTGCAGGGGATTTGCCAAGGTTCTACGACTCGCCGCACAGTATATCGCAGGTGCTTCCTGGCTAAATGATTCCCTTTTCTACATATAAAAAGGAACGGTTAGGACTACCAGAGGATGGGCGAAGCAACAGAGACTCAGACTGCCGCTTTGGCTCCCAGTTGACATGGAAGACGAGTATCATGTCGTCGAGTCAGGTACGATATTCGGCACTCGGGAGAATGCCAAGTTCAACTCCCAAACTCACTCGGATGCCGTACACTCCGCGATGGCAATGGCAGGGGAAGGGCAGGTACACCAGTTGACGCCAAAAGTCGGCATGGTACTTGGAGATACCGCATCCCTTGGTCCCGCTGGTGTTTAGCAATTTCCATGCTTCAGAAAGGAAAGTGGGGCAATTGAGGAGCTAAGGATCTTGTGCTATGACGTTGTCTCCTGAATCCTGGAAGCCAGCGAGAGCCAGCCAGAGCCAGCCAAACAACCAACTCACCTCCAGGGGGGGATCGGGATGGTGGCAGTGAACAAGAGCCGTGATTCGCGCGCACTTACAGCAGCCAGTCAGCCAGGAACTAGACCACTGCCCTGGTTTTGGCCAAGTGTACCCTCGTGCTGGTGGTGACTATGACTGCTGTGTGCTGCCCCGGCTACTGTGGCATCTCCAAGCGCAGGTTGTAGTCTTTGCCGCTAGAGTACTAGAGGTGAGACACGTGTATAGGGCTCACGATGATTTGGGCTGTGATGGCATTGACCGACGCTCATGGCTGGCATTTGCGTCATGGCAGAGAGCGGCCTGGCAAAAATCAGGATCAAGTGAAGGACAGTCTGCCCAACGCTATCCTGTGGTTGAGGAAGCACACTATAGTCCGGCAGGCGATTGGGCGCAGTCTATATGGGAAAAGCTAAGGGTAAAGATATTCGACCTCGAGATAGATTTGTATGGTCAAACCGCAAAGCGCATCCATGTAGTTGCGCATATGGATTGCCTGCTTGTCTCTACACGAAACACGCTGCGATCTGCAAACACCAGCTCTCTTGCACCGACGATCCCGTGTCTGAGGTAGAAGCGAAGCGCATGTCAACTTCCATCTCTGTACGATCACACGCCCAACAACACGCTAATCGTAGCGTACAGAGCATCACCGTTTGGAGTATCCATTAACGGATATCAAATCTACCATGCAAGCGTCGGTGGGTCTCTTCGCGCCGATGTCAACACGGTATGCTGCTCTCGGTGATGGAAATGCTGATAGTCGAGCCTGCGGGATCATATCGGATTGATTCCCAATCGCCATCGTCCATCAGATACCGAGTTTCCCGTCCATCAAAGATCGATGATGTGACAGGTGCACAGCCCCTCAACCAGTCCGAAGGGCCGCATGTGCGGCGAAATACCCAACAGGAAATCCGACTTCCTATCGTCATTCGTGGAATCCAAAACGAGTAAAAACTGGAGTCGCAAAACACCGGTTCCAAAACCGAAATCTAGAAGAGCATCTGAAAACAGCATGCCTGCTAGAATGGTATGTATACCGTAGTACTAGGACGACGAGATGACCTTTTTCGAGTCTCAACGGTCTAGATGCTACATAGACTCGAAATGTTAGCAGCTTGTTCCTGGCAGACATGGGTTTGGGTGCAAATAGGCCGGCCGTTATAACGCAGCGAGGCGTGCGAGGGTAGCAACACTGCTCGTTTCATGTTGCACCCTTTCTGGCATGTATCGTCATTCTTCCGGCTCTTATATTGCGTTTGATACTGTATCAATATCGAGGGCCAACAGGGCCAGTGGATCCGACCGCAAGGCTGGAAGCTGGATATGGGCTTGGCGCTTTCTTGGCATCCGACAAGCCGCAGACAACGAGTTCAGTTGCAGAGCAGCATTTCCACACGGACACATTTCAGCGCGGTCACGGCGACACTTCCGCAAGTCTGTGAGGTCTGTTAGGCCGCAACCTAGCAATAGACGTCAGCGTGGAAGAAAATAGAGGCAAAGTCCGTATTGGCTGACGTACCCTTCTATCACTTGTCATTCGTCCCGTCGTCTTGCACTTCTCTGCTGCGCATCCAGTGGCTGCCTCCTTTCTTGCCGGAATGCAATCCTGATCCAATCATCCCACATCGTGACGGAAGCCCAGGGCTAGGCTGATGACGCCTGTGCCACACGGAGGGAGATAGCTGCGCAGAGTCCAAGACTTCCAAGACGGGGAACCTCAAAGCCGCCAGCCGCCATACCTAACACGGCCTGTTCTTATCTTTCAACCCGTCTGCCTCAAGAGCGTACTCATCATCGGTTGTTGAGCCCATTGTCTTTGAGTTTCTTTCAATCAAAAGGGTTTGTCAAGCCATTGGGAAACGCCTTGCTCGGGCATATCACATCATCTTTACATCTAACAAGCATTTCGACCCCTGCAAACCACGGACTTCCAGCGCTTACCTGTCACTGTATCAAAGCTTTGCAAGCCTTGTGAAACGTACGGGGACGTACCCACCGAACCCTGCCTGCCTCAGCCCAGAGCCGGAAACCAAAAACCAAAAGCACCCACCTCACCGCGATCTCTTCCGATCCATTCTCCCAGACCGCAAATTATCAACATTTTCGAAACTCAAAGAGTTGAGCTCTTCTCCGCTTTCAGTTGGCATTACTCAACCATTGCCCGAATCGAACTCGCCGATTTTGTGACACTTGATGGGTCTCCTCAGCATCCGATCGCCGACGTCATTGCGGACGGCCGTGACCGCCGCTGGCGATTCGCTCAACGACTTGTCAATATCAACCACCGCGCCCTTTACCGTCTTCGCGCCCGGCGAACATGACTCTCACCCTTCACTCCCCCATATCGTGCTCCTCGTCTTCGGGGCCGTCCTCGAGGTAGTATGTGTCAGTTTGCCTGGATACATCATTGCCAGGCTTGGCCACTTCGACGCCGAGAAGCAGAAGTTCTTGGCAAACCTTAACGTAATGCTATTTACGCCATGCCTTAGTGAGTTCACACGCAATACAACGTAGTTTTTCCTGCCAAACAGTATCTCGTGGGCCATTGGCTAACGTCGGTGGGACAGTCTTCACAAAGCTTGCATCTCAACTTAACGCCGATAAGCTGATTGAACTCGGCGTCATTCCCATCATCTTCGTAATCCAGACGTTCGTCTCGTACATGGTCTCGGTTGGAGTCGCAAAATGCTTCGGATTCAACAAGCGCGCTTCCAACTTCGTCACCGCCATGGGCGTGTTTGGCAACTCCAACTCGTTGCCCATCTCCTTGGTTATCTCGCTGTCGCAAACCTTGAAGGGACTGCATTGGGACCGGATCCCGGGTGATAACGATGACGAGGTTGCCGCACGCGGTATTCTGTATCTGATGATCTTCCAGCAACTTGGCCAGCTTGTCCGCTGGAGTTGGGGATACCACGTTCTCCTTGCGCCCAAGTCCAAGTACGAAGAATACAACAACGAGACGATCGAGGAGGGTCAGTACCGCGACGAACCGTATGAGGGTGAGGAAGCGGCGCAACTCATTCAAGGGCTGGATAGCACCCACGAGGTTGGCGAAGAACGTTGTGCGCACGGTTATAGGAGCCCAACACCGCAGTCCGACAACTCCGAAGTCTACGAGCCTGCAGGTCGAACTCCTGTTGCTGGGTCGTCAAGGACCTCTCCTAGTGATTTTGGCGATGACGACTCGGACAAGGACACTATCCGGAAGGTCGGCAACGACAGCAACGCTTTGTCCGACCGCGATGATAGGCTCAACGGAATGATGTCGTTCCCCCGCATCAGTAACGCCGATAAACGTGAGGTTCCCGAAGGCTTCCCGGCGCGTGTCAAGGCATCGACCAAGAATGCTGCTGCATCAGTGTGGGCTTCCCTCACTGGCGTTGCCCATACTGTTTTCTCTGCTCTTCCGGCTCCCCTGCAGACTGTGCTTACCAAGGTCTACCGCGGCCTGGCCCGTTTCGGTGCTGGTCTGTGGGAATTCATGAACCCACCCCTGTGGGCTATGCTCTTTGCCGTCATTGTGGCCTCGATCCCCGATCTTCAGGAACTCTTCTTCAAGGACGACACTTTTGTCAAGACCAGTATCACCAGCGCCATTAACTCTTCCGCTGGCGTTGCCGTTCCCTTGATCTTGGTTGTGTTGGGAGCCAACTTGGCGCGCAACACGCAGAAGCGCGATGAGGTGGACGCCGAGGAGAAACAGATTGGCACCAAGCTTCTGGTTGCTTCCCTGATCAGCCGTATGCTCCTCCCGACTCTGATCATGGCGCCCATTCTTGCCATCTTCGCCAAGTATGTGCCTGTCAGCATCCTGGACGACCCGATCTTTGTTATCGTCTGCTTCCTCCTTACGGGCGCTCCTAGCGCGTTGCAGCTGGCTCAGATTTGCCAGATCAACAATGTGTACGAGGTGGTCATGGGCAAGATTCTGTTCCAAAGCTACGTTATCTGGTAAGTTTTTGAGACTCCCCTTTTGATAACGAATAGTATTCCCTTTACTAATACGTTATTTACTAGGATCCTTCCTTCCACCCTTATGTTGGTCATGTGCGCTCTCGAGGTTGTCGAGTGGGCTGCTTAAATGAGCGCCCTTGCACAAAAGCATGCTTGCTTGTCGTTACGTCATCATGACTGTGTCTCGAAACACATTTTGGGGTTGGCGCGTTGCCTGGTGTAATAGCTTTGGCAAATTGTAACATTTTCTTTCTGCACCAGTCGGCGTTCACGGATTAGGTAACGGTTTCGGTTGGGAGCATAATCTGGGTCCTTTCCCAAACGTGTCGACGGGAAAGAAAAAAAGGAAACATATTGTCCTTTGGACAGGCTTGGGAGAATGGATAAGGATGTATGATTAACGAAGCCGATGACGGGTGCTAGGATGTATACTTTATGACTACTTGAAATGAGAGCGCTTCGTTATTCCCTAAAATTCTCGACTAGATGTTTACTATTTGGTCATACATTTTCAACCTTTGAATGTTGACATAGGTTTCTCGGAGAAGTGTGTGAAGATCATGAACTGATTGTAGAACGTGACCTCCGATATTAGCGATATGTGTTTATATAGCAAATATACTCAAAAATAGTTCCCTCAACTCCAGTCCAGATCATCTAGCCTTCCATTCCAGTCAACACGTCCTTCAAGCCAGCAAAATGAGCTTTCATCCTCCAATCTACCGGATACCATTAACCAAAGCCTCATTCGTCCCCGCGCTCCTCCCCTCCGGCGGCGCAATAACCCAATCCTGCACCGTCCCCTTCCAATCCGCAATCCGGACATCCCGGATCCCCACCACCACCACTCTGACATCCTCATCCGCCACGTACCTCTCCCTACCATAATCCCCCTCTTCCCCGTCCGGTGATAGTGACGATACTTGCTGACCAGAAGTGCTACCCCTCCGAATGTTGTTCAAAATCGACGACGGCTGCTCGCTGTCAAACGTGTTGTTCTCCAGGTGCGTTTCCCGGTAGAAGCGCTCCTCTTCGGAGTCGCGGTCGACGAGCCGGGCGGAACCGTTGATGGTCGCGCTGATGGAGGAGACGGCGCTGGTGTTGAGGTTGAAGAGAAGGGCCGCGAGGGAAGAGGAGCGGTGTTCGGGACCGGGAGAGCCGCCGGAGGGACGACGCTGGGAGGAGGTGGAGGGGCGGTGGGAGACCCCTTTTGTCAGGTGTTAGTTACTTGAGTTGGGGTGGTAAAGGGAATGCTAGGTTGGAAGAGGTCGGATGGTTCGGGGGTATGCGGTGCTTACAATCGTGAACTAGCAGGGAAACGTTCGGGTTCGCGACCAGGTTGTTCATCTTCTTGCTGGCGGGGTTGGTGGTCATGACGATGACGGGGGAGTCGGAATAGGGAGACGAAGGAAGGTAGGTGTAGTTCATGAGCGAGACGTGAGGCATGTTGTCGACGCAGGTGGCTAGATGCAGGAAGCGCGCGTTCTCGAGACATTGGACGACTTCGGGCGGGAGCTCGCTGGTGATGCGCATGTGGGTGTTGCCGGCTGAGGCCTCGTAGTTGAGAGGTATCTGTTGGTTCATTGCGTCTGCTGGTGGAAAGTTCTTCTTTGTGTTGTTGTGTTGTGTGTATATAATAATAGTGTTTGGTCGTCGGTGTGTTGTAGAGGTAGTATATGATGAGTCTATGCCATCAAGGTTGTTGTTTTGGGGCTAGAGTCGTGGGTTGGCGGTCCGCCGAGTGGAATGACGGGTTTCTCTCGTGGAGCAGAGGATCCGTTCGGGGTGGGTCGATGTCAATGAGACGTGAAGCTGGACTGTGCGGCAACGCTTGACAACGAAGCTTTTCGGATTCAGATAGTGGGAATGAGTTGCTTATATCTCGATTCGATGAAGCAATTGTTCAAGTCCTGTTTGGACGTTCTCGATATCCTTTCCGGTGATTGCTGTCACAGATCGGTGACGCTTAGTGCTGGCAATGCCTGCCTAGGTGGACGATAGGAGCGTGGGCCCCGTAGATTGGGCGATAAGAGTGCGATAACTCATCCCTGCCATTGGAGTCTCGACTTGTTAACAGTGGGGCCTACAGAATGCGGGGAAGAGGAGAACAACCCCCACAACCCCTGTCTAAAATGACGTTTCCCCAACTTTCACTTTTCACCCTATTTCTGGGGAAAGACCGAGGACATCACGACTTCATGTTACGATTGAGAATGGCCTCTGCGGCTTCTGGATTAACATGACCAGTGGGCAACAAGTCGGAACCTAGCACACTGATCAAGAGGACCTCATCAAGACCTCAACCTCAATCATCAAGAAAAGAGGATTCGGTCACGAGGTTGGCGGCTAAGACGAATTCGATCTTGTAAGTGGCAGGGGATCAAACGGCTAGTGTCGGCCTCCTCACACGGCAGTCTCAACCTCGGGAAGATGGACGACGTCCAATTGGCGTGGAAGGCATTGCCCAGAACTCGAAAAGGTCAGTAGGACGGTGACAGTCTAGTCGACGGGCGGGTGGGATTGGATTTCTCTGTTCGGCTTTGTCAGTTTTTGTTTCTGTGTCTGTCTTCTCTTCTCCTCTTCACTCTTCTTGTTTGTTTGTTTTGAGCTTCTTGAGAGAGCAATCGCAAGTCTTGTTGCGACATCTCGTCTTGCACATTCCCAAAATTACCATGCGTTCCATAAAACGGGCTTCTCGTCGTCTCCCGGCGTCTTTGCGCGGTGCTCCCACCTCCGCCCCCGGGTCAGGAGCCCGCTTCCTCTCGACAACCGCCCCTACCCCGTCGACAGCCACTACCAATGGCAGCACCAACACTTCGGTAACCCCCATTTCATCCGTTCTCATCGCGAACCGTGGTGAGATCGCTCTCCGCGTTGCTCGAACGGCGGCCTCTATGGGCATCCGCACCACAACCCTCTACACCGATATCGACGCCGCTTCACAACATGCCAAGTGCACCCCTTATGCCATCTCCCTCGGTGCTCCCTCGGCCTACCTCGATGGTCCACGGATCGTCGAGCTTGCAAAGAAACATGGCATCCAGGCTCTCCACCCGGGTTACGGTTTCCTGAGCGAGAACCCCGCCTTTGCCAAGGCCTGCGAGGAGGCCGGTATTGTCTTTGTCGGTCCTCCCGCTAAGGCCATGACCGACATGGGCGACAAGGCCCGCAGCAAGGAGATCATGAACGCCTCCGGCGTGCCATGCGTCCCCGGCTACCATGGCTCCGAGCAGTCTGTCGAGCAGCTCAAGGCCAGGGCCGCCGAGATCAAGTACCCCGTCCTGCTCAAGAGTGTCAAGGGAGGCGGCGGCAAGGGTATGCGCATCGTGCGCACCGCGGACGAGTTCGAGGCCCAACTGAAGAGCGCAAGGGCCGAGGCACGCGCCAGCTTCGGCGAGGGTGGTGAGGTGATGCTCGTGGAGAAGTACATTGTGCGCCCCAGGCACGTCGAGGTCCAGGTCTTCGCTGACCGCCATGGCAACTGCGTGGCCCTTGGCGAGCGCGATTGCAGTATCCAAAGGAGACATCAGAAGATCCTCGAGGAGAGCCCTGCACCCTTGTTGGACGATGTAACACGGAAAGATCTGTGGGATAAGGCTAGGAAGGCTGCCCTTGCCGTGGACTATGTGGGCGCCGGCACCGTCGAGTTCATCTTGGACAAGGACACCAACGAGTTCTACTTCATGGAGATGAACACTCGTCTCCAAGTAGAGCACCCCGTCAGTGAAATGGTCACGGGTACCGACCTTGTCGAGTGGCAGTTCAGGGTTGCCGCCGGCGAGAAGCTTCCCTTGACCCAGGACGAGATCGAAGCTAGGATTCTGGAGAGAGGTGCCGCCATCGAGGCCAGGATATACGCCGAGAACCCAGAGAAGGGTTTCTTCCCCGACTCGGGCACTCTGGTACACCTCTCAAAGCCCCAAACAAACGAAGATGTGCGCATCGACGCTGGCTTCGTGGAAGGAGACACCGTTTCCGAGGCATACGATGGCATGATTGCCAAGCTTATCGTCCGGGGCAAGGACAGAGAGACGGCCATCCGCAAGCTCGAACTGGCCTTGCGCGAATACGAAGTTGTTGGGCTGAGCACAAACATAGAGTTCCTCAAGAGGCTCTGTAACAGTCAAGCCTTCATCGAAGGTGATGTCGAGACCGGCTTCATCGACAATTGGAAGCAAGAACTGTTTGGGGCCAAGCCTACCTCCAACGATGTGTTCGCCCAGGCTGCCCTCGGTCTCCTAGGCACTCAGACACAAAACGCCCCTGCCGCACATGGCCAGACCCTCGGCTTCGGCGAAGCCGCTACTCAGAACTCGCGCAAGTTCGCGTTCCGTGTCCAAGATGACGCCAGCACCGAGGAGGGCAAGATCGTCGAGGTTGAGGTTACCCAGCTGAACAACAAGCTGTTCAACGTGTCTGTCCGCAAGGAGGGCGATGACAAGCCACAAGTGTTCGAGAACATTGTGTCCGAGTCAACTTCCACAACGGCCCCGACCTCGTCAGCGAAGAAGACCAAGCTGACTACTTACTTCCCTCTCGCGAGGGTCAACACAACCTTGGTCCAGGACCCTGCGGATAACGAGAAGTTGACGGTCTTCCAGCTTGGTCACAAGACTCAGCTAAGGCTCGTCAGCCCAGGGTGGTTCGACAAGGCGCTGGGCTTGAAGGAGGTTGCCGCTAGCGTGGTGGCGCCGATGCCTTGCAAGATTTTGAGGAATGAGGTTGAGGAGGGGCAGTCAGTGGAGAAGGGTGCGCCGTTGGTTGTGTAAGTGCTTCACGTCTATGAGAACCCGATCGTGGTTTGGATAGGTGACTAATGCCCTGGTTTACAGTATCGAGTCGATGAAGATGGAGACGGTCATTCGGTCGCCACAGAGCGGTGTCATCAAAAAGCTGGCACACAAGGAAGGAGTGAGTACAACCGTTTGCCAAATTAGAATGAGATAAGTTGCTAATTTAAATCTTGCAGGATATTTGCAAGGCTGGAACGGTTCTGGTCCTCTTCGAAGAGACCGATGAGAGTTCTTAGAGGCATCCGGGTTAAAGAGTTATGAGTAGATGATATTACACTAGAATACCTGTGTTATTAGGTCTGGCAAGGCTTATTCTTGGATATCATGGTATAATGCAGGAGTTGGTTGTAGCATACTTCTTGGAAAGTTTACAGTTCACCACATTTTCAATGTTGGCCTTGTGTCCGCAATCTGAAATACCAGTGCTGTCCTTTAACTATCCGACGCTTGTGTGATGTATCCATTCTAACCGGGTATCTAATCAACATTAAGAACCTATACGAAAACACTCCTCCCACTCAAACTCTCCCATTCATGCGGTCCGCAATCTTCATGTCAGCCGCCCTACTATGCAAGCCACTCATAAACCCAGCATCACCTCCACGATACTTCTTATTCTGCTGGCGCGCCTTCTCATCGGCCTCTCTCTCCGCCCGCTCCGCTTCCGCAAGGGCCTTGAGCCGCTCCTCGCGAGCTTTGTCCAGGTCGGTGGCAGCCGCTTGCATAGCAGCCAGCTTCTTGGCACGCTCTTCCTCCGCCTTTTTGTCGTCTCCGTCTGGCTGCTGCTGCCTGCCTCCCTTATTAAGCCCGCCATTGTATCTCGGTCGGTCATCTTCCTTGTTTGTGAAATCCCTGCGTGGCGGTCGGTGCTGATCACGGCTGCGATCATCTGGCCTACGCGAAGACGGTCCGCTTTCACCACGCTCTCGGGAATACTCCCTTCTTCGTGATGAACGGCCGCCAGGTGATCTGGATCTGGAGCGGTCTGGGGACCGATGCCTTCGCGACCTGCTATCGTCCCTATCTCTATCTCTCCGGCTTCTGCTTTCATCTGGCTCTCGCCTCCTTGTCCTGTCGGGCGAGTCTCGCCTGCGCCGCTTGCTTCGGTCTTCCTCGGAATCGCTGCGTCTTCGTGGGCTCCTGCTCCTGGATCGGTCTCGAGAGTCGGACCTGCGTCGGCGGGAGTGTCTATCTCTGTCTCTATCGCGGTCGTCGTCGCGATCCCTATGTCGGTCCGAGCGATGGTGGTGAGAGCGGTGTTTGTGTCGTCTTTCATCTTTTCCATCCTTTTTGGCGATCTGCGAGTCATCGATGCCCATAGATGCGAGCAGTTGTCGGCGCTTGATGGGGTCGTTCATCATAGCCTCGTACGCCTGTTGCTCCTGCCTCTTGATCGCGAGCAAGGGGTCTTCGCGAATCTTGGTGGCCACGTCGCGTGCATTGCTCACCACTGACGCCGGGCCCGCGGCCGACAGATGATCTTGCTGGGGCTGTTTCGACAGCGCCTTCTTGGTGTCGTTGTCCTGGAGGAGCTTGTCGATACGCCGCTTGCCGAGCAGGTAGGCTTCGGTCTCAGCAGAGTCGCCGGCCTGGCCGTCGGTGGGGCCGCTGTACATCCATTCGACCCGGTCGATCTTGCGCTTGCCGCCGGCGGCTTCGAGAGCTTTCTGGATCTCTTCTTTGCGGCGCTCTTCTTCGATTTCTTGCAGGCGCAGTTGCAGCTTCTTGCGCTCGGCGATCGCTTCGGCTTCGGCCTTTTGTGTGGCGGCGACGTTCCCCGATCGCTGGGGATGCCAACTCTTTTTCATGTTCAGGTCTCCGGAACCCATCTTGGCGGTGTTGATGCTGCTGATGCAGCGGGCGAGTGGTGGTGGTGTTGTGGTAGATTAGAAGAAATCGGGCGATTGATCGGGCGAGAGATGGTAGACGCGATGGGATTGTTGATGATCTGTAGGCCGACTAAGAATCGCGATTGTCGGGCCCGAGGAGGATGGGAGATGGAAATGGTTGTCGAGTGGCAAGGCGCCTGGCTGTTGTTGATGTAAGGGACAATTTTTAGAAGGCAGCGAAAACGCCCCGGCCACTGCTGGACCTCGCTGCGGTACTCAGGCTGTGCAACTACACCCCAGCGGCTGGACTTCTGACGTTTGCTCTTAACCAATAGATAAGCAGGACTCCACATTCACTTTCCCCACTAGACGAAGCTCATCCCCACTCGAGCTTCAGCCTTACCAGAGGCAGGCGCGACCACAACCCACACTGACTGCACCTGTTCGCCGACGCATGTACCTTTAAACCGACCACCATTTGTCACTTCCCGTTCAGTACCTGGCGCTTCGTTGTTTACTTCATCACCACTTACAACAACCCTTCATCTCCACACGAAACCACGCATCCTTTCTCCAGCATCTATCAATCTCGATCTCCCATTATCAAAACATCGAATCGTTTACGCTCCCGTTTACGTCAGCGACCATGTCCGACGACGATTTCATGCAAGACTCCGATGAGGAGTATGACTTCGAGTACGAAGACGACGAGGAGGAGGACAACGGCGATGTCGATATCGAAAACAAGTACTACAATGCCAAGCAGACCAAAACATCAGATCCCGAGGAAGCTCTCCAAGAGTTCCTAAGCATACCGCCGCTCGAGCAGGAGAAGGGAGATTGGGGCTTCAAAGCACTGAAACAGGCTATTAAGCTGGAATTCAAACTCAAGCGATACCAAGAGGTAGGCGGTGATGTCGGTAACCTGACATGGCTTGACACAGCTAACGAAAGGAATAGGCAACCGAGCACTACGAAGAACTCCTGACCTATGTCAAGTCAGCCGTGACGAGGAACTACTCCGAAAAGTCCATCGACAATATGCTCAACTACATCGAGAAAGGATACGACGATCCCAAAGCTGTGCAGTGCATCGAAAAGTTCTACTCCCTCACACTCCAGTGCTTCCAGAGCACAAACAACGAGCGCCTATGGTTGAAGACGAACATCAAGCTTGCACGACTGTTGCTCGACCGCAAGGATTACTACGCAGTCGCCCGCAAGTTGAGGGAGCTCCATAATGCCTGCCGAAAGCCTGACGGAACCGATGACCCCAGCAAGGGCACCTATTCCTTGGAAATCTACGCCCTGGAAATTCAAATGTACTCGGAAACTCGCAACAACAACCAGCTCAAGGTGCTCTACCAGAAGGCGCTCAAGGTGCGGTCCGCCGTACCCCACCCCAAAATTCAGGGCGTCATCCGCGAATGTGGTGGCAAGATGCACATGAGTGAGGAAAACTGGAAAGAGGCTCAGAGCGATTTCTTTGAGGCTTTTCGTAACTACGATGAAGCCGGTGATCTTCGCCGTATCCAGGTTCTTAAGTATCTGCTCTTGACGACAATGCTGATGAAGTCGGACATCAACCCCTTTGACAGCCAAGAGATGAAGCCCTACAGGAACGACCCTCGCATCTCCGCTATGACGGAGCTTGTGGACGCATATCAGCGCGATGATATCTACCGATACGAGGATGTACTTCAGAAGAACACCGACCTGCTAGCGGATCCGTTCATCGCCGAGAACATTGACGAGGTTACGCGCAACATGCGCACCAAGGGAGTGGTCAAGCTTATTGCTCCATATACCCGCATGCGTGTTGGTTGGCTTGCGGAGAGGTTGCGTATTACCGAACCGGAGGTTATGGACATCCTGAGTTTCTTGATCGTTGATGGACGGGTCAAGGGCCGCATTGATGAGCACAAGGGCGTGCTGGAGCTTGAGTCCCGTGAAGATGCAGATCATATTCAGGGCATCACTGTCCTTTCCGAGGCCGTTGGGAATCTGTTCAATGCGGTTTTCAAGACCACCGACGGGTTTCAGTCTAGCCAGGGGGATTTCATGAACTCCATGGCAGATCAAATTGCTGACATTGGTTCCTTGGACGACACAATGCGATCGGTGGGCTCTGGCAAACGCGGCCGCCGCATGGGTCTAACACAGCGGGCATATTAGACAAAGAAAAGGCTCGCTGAGATGTATCAAGCAGTCTCATGGCGGCTTCGTACCAGGAGTTGGGGCGCCAGTTGACCGTTTCACTTCTAGACAGTTGAGGTGACTTGGGTTAGAGATTGGGAGTATGTCCTGATTAAGGACACAGAGTAGAATAGGTAGTGTTTAGTTCTCTACACTGGGGGTTAAATAGAACCCCGGCGCATAAGGGGCCATACATTAACGATTGGAATCAATGCATACATATTTAACCCGTCGTTATCATTCATTATTTTCTGGTTTCTTTGTGGTCATGATGGACAGAGTCAGTCTGCAGTTGCCCTTTGGCTTCGAAACCTCCAAGACCACGTATTCAAACGATACATTGCCGCCACCCTCTCACGCCCCAGAGTCTCTGCAACGGTATATGGCCGGAGTACATCATCTCAACTTGTGGCTTTGAGACCCGTTTCGACTGGTTTGTCTTCCCCAACAAATTTCCGGGTGCACCGAAACAGACCATCTTCTCCTTGTTTCTTGGTGATTCACCGCTTTGTTACGCGGGTCACCAACTGATACCAGACACTTGCGAGACTTTTGGTGAACATTCTCCCCGTCGAGATCTCCAGTGGACTTCTTTCTTCTTTTTTATCTCGCTAGCCCATTGGAAATGGTGAGCAGACACAAACCTTTGGGAGATTTTGCTACAATCGTATGTTCACACAGAAGGTATACATCATACCTCCTCCTTCTACCCCGGACACTTTCACTCCTTCCAACAAAACCAAGATCGGTAAGGTACTCTCCCGGAACAAGCCGTAACTCACGTCACACCAATGAGGCCGCTACTAAGTACTAACGCCTCCTTTTCAACCGTATCGTGATCGTGAACCGAAAGACAGGGACTCTGTGCCACATCCACGATGCAGGATGTGTCTCGGTTTTTGTTGGTATATCTGACGAGTGGAGGAGTGAATTGGTGTCGATTCTTTGTCTGGACTGAAGAATTGATACAATGGCAGAGTCATGGTCAGGCTCTGCTATATTAAAACACTATTTCATTCTGAGAACATCTGCAAGCTGTCTCCTTCTTTCACAGTTACTGCCTATATTATGGGTGATGCAGATCGAACTAGACACTTCTTTGCCCGTATGTAGGTAGCTTATTGCCCCCTTCGCCGGTCTCCGGCACGAAAGTCATGACTTCAAGACACTGCGAGCAGGACAGGGGCCAGGCGGGGGTGATAAACAACCTACCCAACAACAAATCTTGGTTGTTGTAGTACGCACATCCACTCGACACATTACATACATGCGCGGGGTTACATCTTGCCAGACATCGAGACACGGGAAGGGAAGTTGAGAGAGATGAATTGGGGGGGGGATATATCTTGCTCCTCCTGCCGCTGGTCTGGTGAAACCATTATTGTTTGTTGGGGGTCCTGCCTACCTAAGGTATGTCTTGTCTTGTTCGGTTCCATCGGTTGGCGGTTGGCGGTTCGGTAGATACAGATATTAACCTTTTGAGTGTGTGTACAATGAATGTCTGAGGCACTACGCAGTAACGCAGTACGGCGGCGGCATCTGTGATCTGTGGAACCAACTCTACCCTTTCTTTCTCCAGCCTATACGGTAAATAGTAGTTACATACTAAATACCTACGTACCGAGCGGGAGGTAGGGGTAATTTGGTAATCGAATTGGCCAGATCTAGGCAATGGTTTTTTTCTCTTTGTGTGTGAACGGCGAGATTGTTTATTTGCTTCTGTGGTGTTATGTGAGTAGCTTCATGGGAAAGTTATGTAGGTACTCGGTATACTCTTCGAGAGAAGATTCACAACAGACACTCACACAAGGGCCTCCTAGGGCCTCCCGTTTGAAGGGAGAAAAAGGCAAAAAAGGCAGCCAAGGCAGAGACGGGAACACGGGCAACACATGAAGGGCGGTCACCAAAAAAGATCAAGGGGTTAAGGTAGGACGATGAAGATGAAAACACGGGATAGGTGGGACAAGCTTCTGCAAGAGCGGGAGCTCGCAGTAGTGTGCCGTAAAAGGCGACTCGGAGTTCATTCTTACTGTGTGGCTATTGCTTTGAGGAGACCGGGGACCGATAGCCTCCAAGGTGAAGGGAGATGAAGGGGACATGGTGGAGTAGGACAGAGGACAACATAGGGTTTTGTTTTTCACCTTCTCCCTCACCTTCTCCTGTACCATAGGGGTCTGTCCAGTTTTGGCAAAGGATTTGTGAATGCCAACACTGGTCGATGAACCACAACGATATGCCAACAATATCATGTATCGAAAAGGGGTAACGGCAAGTTGGCGAGAAATCGCCAACGGCGTGTGAAATCCTTTTGACACGCACAGCTCAGCACATTGCAGGTAGGTTGCAGCCGAGGAAAATCGGTTGCTTGCACGCAGCACAAGGCGCACTCGGACCGGATGCGAATACCAGTCTCCTCGGCCAATATCATGCCCATTTTTGCCTTGGCCTTGACTGCGCTTTCACGCTACTGTCAGGGAAGAAGTGCCTGGCCGCATCACCAGTGACCCCGGGGCGCGGGCGGTTGGTTGTGGGGCTGCTTGCAGATCTCCCCCGGCGTCTGGGCTGTTTTTGTCTTTGCTTTTTGCCGCTGTTTCCTTCTCGTCGTCATCGCGAATCGAAAATGGAATGGTTCAGTGATTGCCTGTTCCTGATCTTGAATCATGGTCATCGATGATAAGGGTCCTTCGAGTCTAACAATCCAAACACTATAGTGAGACCCGTGTTTTCACTCGTATCAGACCCCCTTCAACATCGTTTCTGATCAGAACAGTGGTGTTCTGCAGCGGGCCATCGTGGTTGTAGGCAGCACCGGACACGAAGTTCCTGTTCATTCAGAGCCAACGAGTGAGAACTGCGGCAAGCCGTTCGGTTAGGCCTCCATAGGCATGCATGGCCAGCCAACCTCTCGACTTGGCCAAAAAGGCAGAATGTCACTGTAGCATAAGAATACGTTAACCAGAGCAGTCCATAACGGAGAAGAGCCCGATCTCCAAAATATCAGACCTCGCGGGTTTGACTGGTCGATGTTCCGCGTCTGTAGGTTTCAGAGATGCCGGCCGGCTATGGGGAAAGATGGTGTCCAAAAAGACATGGCGGTAAAGTGTAATAAGTGATCTGTAGGTAGAAGTCTCAGCAGTGTGATTGCATATGTTGCCGAGAGGCCATGGGGCGGGGAACGGGACAAGCCTACCATGTCTCCATGTCTGAGGAAGTTTGATATTGAAACTCGATCAATGCTTCTGTGATGCATGACAACGAGAGGTTGCCATCGCACAAATCTTGTCCAACTTGGCCGTGGCCAGTACGACTTTCATTGTTCGCAATGAGACGGAGCTAGAGGTAAGTAGGCAAGTAACACTCCAACGCGGCAAGCCACAGGTCTTCGGGAGAGTGAAAACGACATATCTCTCTACCTGTCTCCCCATTGCATCACACACCTCACACAGTACCTTGGTGTATATGGATGGATGCCGTGCACGGTGTCCCCTAGTCTCAGGATGGCAGCGATGGTATGGCCGGCAGCGCAGGCTAATAATAAGCGGGAAAAGAGCGAACGTGATGGGATCATCATCAAGGATGCCTGCCCGTCCCGCCTGCTACCACCTGCGCCTGTCTCGTATCCATCTACGGCGTTGATTGAGTACATAGGTATTTCTACGATAGAACTGTCAGCAGGAAACGGCAAGACTCACACTCAAGGCGGTCGGTTCTGCTGGTCCAGAGAAGTTCTCATCTTGACAGCGTATAAATAATACAGGGTATGAACTGATAGATCCTATCGCGACGGATCAGACGATCAGCATATCAAGCGAGAGGTTGATGTAGCATCTGGGCGCGGACTTGCAGCTTGGTTGGGAATAAAGAGACGTTGGATGGTCCGAGCGGCAATCTGCGCAGCAAAATATTGGTAGCGCTACAGTTATATCGACTATAATCGCATAATAAGCGGCAAAATCATGGCTGGACAGAGATAATATTGTACGGCAATGCACATCCGGTTTCGGTTCTGGGACTGCAGTTGCAACCACACCTCTTTACACTTACATCCATCTCCATTCCCATTGCACCCTCTTCACTTTACTACAAGCGACGTCGTCTCCTTCAGAGCAACAACCAACAACCCCCAACTCGTCCTCTCCTGTCATCTTCACTCAACTTCTAGGTCCTACAGACGGGTGGAATGGGAGCACATTGACACCCACAACATCTCCCCACCTCCCGCCCGATCCATCACAGAGTTCGGGACAGGAGCTCTACCCCAGCAGCCCAGCACCCAGAATTATCACCATTGTGTCGCATTCACCCTCACACTTCTACCCCGCCATGTCGTAGCGAAGCGGAGGTTACATAGCGTCCCGCTGCAGATTTCATTGTCCATACCATCATGGACGTCGGTTTGTGTTGTCGTTCGGAGGGTGAGGTTGGATCGAGGATGGATGTCATCTCGTCTCCGCATCCTTCCCTTGTCTGCCCGCGCCACCATCCAACACGCGAGTCTGGGGAAGATGCTTGCTCGTTCACAAGGACCCATCCATCCTTCGTTGAACCGTTGCGTTTGAAGGATCCTCCCCGGACCTGCACGACTTGGCGACAGTATCTGCTGCCAATGTCAATGACAGGCTCCAAATCCTGCCTTCGACAGAAAAGGCATCCACGTCGTTCTACGACCTGAGGCGCAGTGTCATCGTCACCGGATTTGTACCCTACAGCCCCATTACATACATGATATGTATTATGGTGGAACCCCAGTTGATGACTGACGACGTCGTGCTCCAGCCGTGTTCCGGTTTTGCCGCCCCTTTTTGAACAGCACCATGAGCGCTGCTACCATGACGACTTCTCTTGACGCTTGTCCCGCGATGTGCGGACATCGGCCGGATATCAAGCAGGGAGTTTCTTGGCACAGGTCGATGGTCCGTCATTGGCAGAAAGTGTAAGCCACCATAGGATAAACACTCTCCAGGATTGGCCTTCATCTACGACGACAGTCCTCAGGGCAGATACTCACAAGCCAGCAGAAGCACGACGTGATGCTGTCCTGCGCATGAGATCTGAGGAACATATCATCAACTTGATCCTTGTTCTTGTTTAACCCCACGTTTTCAGCCGGCCACCGCCATACATGTTGTGTTGCAAGTCAGCTTGACAAGTCACTCCAGGCGGCAAACATATGGTCCGTGAGAAAATGACAACATCATAGCTTACGGTTAAGCAACCGAGGAACCTGGAAATCTAATATTGAAGAGTACGAGAGAAAACAAGGGGATAAGCGGTACATTGCTACCCGCCCATGTCTCACATTTCATGCATTTTGAGCCAGCGGGCCTGGCAATGGCGATTCTTCAGAACCCTTGAAGACATCAACGGTCCCATGAGCTTGGGACCAGCAACGAGCCCAATCAGCGGACCGACCACAGCCGTTCCTCCTCGTTAATCACTTCCAACTTTTACCACCTGAACCCTTTCCCCTTCTCGCTCACACAGCATGTTGTATTCAAGGTCCTCACCAACTTTGGTTGCAATCTTGGCTTGTCCGTGCCACATTTCGGCATGATTTGCTTTGTCGTTGGTCTGGGGAATATCATGGGCTGAGCTTACATATGTTTCAAGCTAATATCACACACAAACTGTTAACAGGTGAAATTCCCACCATATTGACGTGGACCTCTCTGTAACGGCATGGATACAGCTGCGCTACCGAAACTGGGGATGAAAGCCCATCTCCTCTCACCCAATTGCATCATAGGAAGTGGCGGACCTTCTACATCTGGGCCAATATGATGCTCACAAACCAAGCCGGCCTGAATCTCCAGACATGATCGTACATATGACCGGTATATCATCGCTCTTCTGCTTTTGGACTACCGGCACTGGGTATCGGAAGGCTCGCGGACTTCATTACTCCCCTCTTACGGATTCTGGAGATTGTGCCACCCCTGTGCATACTTGCCTCGCCCCGTGGGCGCATCAACCTGCTCAAGATCCCATCATATATCACGCTGGCCGTTTTATGCGTGGTGATGGGAGAGTGGATTTCGGCGGTGCTGTGTCACTTGAAGTTCGGCTTCAAGTACCGGACCGTCTGAAACTCTATCAAATTCATGAAACGCTCTGCCAGTCATGTTAGATTGAGCCACCTTTCCATTGAACGCTCTAACTAACAATCTAGTGGAAATACGTGGAAACACAAGTGTCGTGGACAAGCCGGCATCCTGATGTTCCTAGACCGGGTATTGGTCATAAAATCGGTTGATCGACTGGCAAAGGGGCACCGTACAAGGCAGGTACCCTTTGCTACCACAAGACGCGGATGTGCGAAGGGCACAGACACTCCTATGAATGACCTGGCACGAAGGACTTGAAGGGTCTGGCCCTAGATGTGTTCACACCATCGCATCGTGCTACCTTTTGCGAATGCCCACTGAGCCAGGCCATAGCAAAAACATCCAATGATGTATCATGCACAGCAAGAAAGGAGACGAAAAGGCGCATCGTGACAGCACATATCATCAAGTCGCCAGACAGCTCCAATGTGAAGGGTATCAGTCGACGTGATGTTTCCCAGCACCGGGGCAAGCACACCACCTCCAAGCAGCTGTCAGACTAGACTAGGCAAGAGTTCGCTACCGTGCAAAGGATGTCACTACACATGAAGTAAAAGACGCCAACAGCGATCACCAGGAGAGCATGATGCTCCGCACTCCCCTTTTCCAGAGCTCTTCAAAGGGCGTTAAACCATTCTTGCAATGGTCTCGGCAAGTAGATGTCCCGAAGGCTCCAGCTCGGCATAGTGAATTCCGAGAATTACGAGTCGATACAACTTGGAGCCCTAGCTGCTCTGCTGACTGAGCCTGGCCGGCGATAACATTTCAGCATCCAGAGACAATGTCGTGGTCCGTGGCGCCCCGTTCGGCTGGTTATACATACCCACCCACTAGAACCCCAGCTTGCCCAGCTCCCCAGGTTTCACGGTGTTTCGCAGCGGCCCTCAGCATTGTCGTCTGGGATCAGGGGACAAGAAACATGCGCTAGAGTGAAAGGCTTCAGGGCAGCGAGGCAGCTCACTTTCGCTCATCACACACAGGCAAAGAAGATCAGCGAGTCCAAAGGTTTGTACCTAGAGAGCTCCGTAACCTAAACCTGACCCAGCTTCACTGGAGGTATACATCACCAACCTCGTTTTATTTCTTTTCCAATCATCACACAACCGTTGAATTCATCCTAACGTTGCCAGCTTTCCTTCTTTGTTTAGTAGTCAACGGTCTGCAGGCAAATTACAGGGGCGGTTGGAAAAAGAGGCCAGCAGAGGCCAGAACACACCAGGCACGCCGGCGGCCGGGCCCCGTCATGTTGCAGAAACCACGGGCCATAGTGCCGCCAAGAGGTCGCTTCCGGGGGCCAATGCGTTTGCTGGTCGCCTGGGGTTGGCTGACTCCCGTAGCTTTGCGGGAAACCGAATGGGTCCCTTTTTTTTGTGTGTCCCTCTCACCAGTCTCCCCTTTTAGTCTACAGCCGGGATCCATGGTGTTCCGTGCGGACGACTACATAAAGTTGCTGAGCACATATTTTTCCTGATCCTGAGTGGTAATAATGAGCGGGCTTTCTTCTCCGTCACAGATCGGAATACCAAACGAGTTGGAAAAGAGGAGCTGCATCGCGTGGGAAATTACAAAACCACGGTCGATTCGACCCACTGCCCGCTTGGACTGATAACGTTGGCTGGGGGCTTCAGGCCCGAATTGCAGGAAGCAAAGCAACCAGCAACGACAGCGTGGAGAAGAACTGATGGTGGAGGAGAAGAAGAAGGATGGCAAGCGGACGGCCAGTAGCCAGCGGCGCAAACGGCCAACGGCGAATAGGACAGCCACAGCAACGGGCAAGGAAGAGAAAGCAATAATGAACTGCAACCTATACCAGTGGCCCATCCTGGATGGCATGGCACCGCACCGCCTGTCCCCACCCGTGGTGATAGCCGTAGGGAGGTCGGCAGGTACTGTAGCGTTCGATGGGGGGGGGGGTGTGTTTGGTACTAATATATGAGTATTTTGGGAACTTGCCTCTTTACCTTGTTGCCGTCGTATTCTTTTCCCCAGAAGGCCGTTGCCCGGCCTCGTCTTTGCGAGCCCCGGATATACATACTTTTATTGCCCTTTTCCCTCCCGCCCTCTGCCGCTTCTCGGTCCCCTTGACTTTCTCTTCGTTTCTGCTTCCCCCCTCGCTCCGCTTTGCCTCTTTTATTTACTTGGCCTGCCCTCCAACCCACCCTCCACTCACCACTCGCATCTCCGTTTGCTTGTTCGGATTTGTGGTGAGGCAGTGCTTTGACTGTTTTCTGTTGCGAACTAAGTCGGTCGTTGCCTCTGTCCCTCTCTGTCTTGGGTCTTGTCTTTCGTTACTTAACCAAGTAAACTCTCATCTCTGTCTGTCTGGTCTGCTTTGTTCCCTTTGCAGTCCTACAGACCTTTCCACACAGAATTGTTATCGTTGTTGTCTAGGTATACTGAGGTGGACGGAAGGCCAAGCATTCGAACAAGTCGTGCTGCTGTGGACTCGCTCTACCCCCTTCGGGTTTCCCATGTGGCTCCTCCCGGCGCTCAGCAATTCGACATCAACAGCAACCTAATTCTTCTTTCCTCATCTGGCTAACGACTACCGTGTCGACCGACTCCTATCACATCCGGCAACGTCTACCATACCCAGTCCACACGTTTTACAGAACAGAACACAGGCATTCTTGGATCGACGACGGCCTTTGACGGGGAAGTTTGCGTGATCCAGAGTGGAAACCTACCCGACCCCTCGAGTTGAGCTGTCAGCTCGCGGATACGCTAAGGTCTTAGCCCCGAACGATTATTGTCTTGTCGGGATCCCCTCCCCAACCGCAAGCGACGATAACAGCTTCTCGGTTACCAACATTCGACATGTATCAGCCCGAATCTGCAGCGTACATACCTCTCTCGACGGGATACGGTAATGCACACGGACTCCCCGACTACACATTCGAACAGACATCAATAGGTGGTGGAAGTGGTGGTGGTGGTTATGTTGGTGGTCTCGGGGGTCTTGGTGGTCTTGGAGGAGGTGGAGGCGGCAGTGGTTCAGGTGGATACACGGTCGGGGGCGGCCCGGGAGCGGCCGTTACAACAGCAGGCGCCGCCGCTGGGTCAGCATCAATAGTTGGGGCCGCAGCAGGGGCAATCTTCAGTCCAGGTCCAGGGCCCAGCATCAGCGGCAACAGCGTCGGCGGCCCCGCATCTGGACCCTTATACACCCACGCCAACTTGTTCCATTCCCATCACTCCTCGCACTCGTTACCATCGCACAACCACGGCGGGCACAACCAACACCACCAACACCAACAGTCGCACAGCCCGCTCTCATACGTCTCGCATTCGCTCTCGCCCAGTGCTGGCGGCAGCACAAACCCCTCCTCGCCAGCTTCCATTTCACAACTTCCACCACAACAACACCATCACCAACAACAACAGCAATACCAGCACTCCCAATTCGATTCTCAAATACCGCGGTACCAGCCATCGTCCTCTATCCATCAACATCACATCAAAATGGAAGCAACCGGCGACGATCACAGCGACCTGGCCGCAGCCCAAGGGTACCAGGAGTACCAGCCTGAGCTCAATGTAAGAAAATCGCTGCTCTGAATTCGCCCACAGCCGTCATCGCCCTCACCCGGTCCTCCTCCAGTTTCTCCAAATATTTACCGTTACTTACATGGGACCGTGTGTGTCTATAGGGTCCTCCTGTTGGCGGCAAATTACCAAGCACAGCCATTACAGAAGAATACGCCAAGGCCGATCCCGTCTATGTCCAGAAGACAAGGGTGAGTACTGCTATTGGAAAATCAAAAGTGGGTGCGGCATGTGCTAATTGTGTCTCAGTCCCTGCCCGCGACATACTCCCATTACCGTCCGATGCTGGGGGATGGCAACTGCGGTTGGAGAGGTGAGTCTTGGCCGTGATAGCTCGGGGCAGCAGCCGGGGCCGATACCATACTGCGAGTTTGAGTGCTGACGAGAAGCGCTCTCTAGCAATCGGCTTTGGCTACTTTGAGACCCTGATCAAGCTCGGCAACAAGGCCCAGGTGGATGCTGAGAGAGAGCGTCTGGAGAGTCTTAATGAGTACATCCATCACCACGGTGGCTTTGACCCTATGGTATTCGTGGACTTTGTCGAGGAAACGGACGAGCTCCTTAAGAGAGTTTCAAACAAACTCGATGACCCGGAGGAAGCCATGATAGAAATCATGGCCGCCTTCAATGACGTAGGCATCTCAAACGCCATCATCTATCACCTTCGCCTGCTCGCAAGTTCCTGGCTCAAAGAGAATCGCGCCAGTCACGAGGCCTTCATCACTACGGACAGCGGGCTTGACAAGTACTGTCAGCGTGTGATTGAGGTACCCAATGTTGAGATCGAGCAACTGGGCTTGCAGGCACTGGTCAATGTGCTTCTGAAGCCCATCGGTTTCGTCTTGAAAATCGCTTATCTGGACCGTAGCCCCGGCTCTGAGGTTAACACCTACAGCTTCCCCGAAGAGGCAATCAGCCAGCCAACGTCCCCTCTCGATCCCGTCATCTGCCTACTTTATCGGCCCGACCACTACGACATACTTTACCCCGTCGACCCAACACCTCCGCCTGCACCTACCAACATCCAGGTTTTCCGAGCCACCATCCCGCAATACGAAATCACTTCCGCTCCGCCATTCACCGCCGCTGGAGATTACGGCCTCCTTGCCGCGCTACCGGGCTTTAGCTCCTCTCCCTCACCACTCGGGGCGTTGGGCGTCGGACTTGGTTCGCCGCTTGGCTCGCCGCTTGCGCCTTTCACCCAAGCCCCGGCACCATCTTGGATGTCTGCCCCTTTCGGAACGGAATCACTCCAGCCAGTTGCCGCCCCCCTACCGATCGCCGCAACGGCCCCTCCTCCGCCACCACCACAGCAGACGCATCCGTTGAGATTTAGCGAATACTGCCAGATGCCGGAGTATGTCGAGAACGACACGTGGCGCGAACCGACGTTCCAGACATCGACATTTAAGAACAGTCATTTCAACGTCGCGCATTACAATAACCCCAACTTCCAACCGGAGGAGTATAAACCGGAAAATGACGAGTATGACCCACCACCAAGGAGTGGGCGGAAGAGAGGGAGTGTATAGATGGGTTCACTGCGGAGAAGACGAGCATTACAGCTGAACATGGGGTCTGGAAGCATACGGAAAAGGGTCATGAGAGGAGGCGCTTACCCTTTTCACTTACAAACACGGAACTGGACGACAAACATTACGCTTGCTCAGGGGTTTTAATACGGCGGCCTGCATTAGGGGAGTTTGGTTCTTCATGTCTTTTAACTTTCGTTGTCCTTTTCATAAAGGTTAGGGCCTGAGCAACAGGGTTACACAGGGGAGTTTGAGAGGAGAGAGAGAGAGAGAGAGAGAGAGAGAGAGAGAAGGGTGAGACACTTTAAAAAGCAACGAGCATTCTTGTTGTGGAGCTTAGCCGGCACAATATTACTTTTTTATGACTACTACTGTTCAACTCTGTTTCTGACTTTGTGATTCTTCTTCGCTCTCGCCAATCCCATTGCTTTACCGTCAGTTGCATTTTCTAGGCAAAAAGTAGGCTGGGAGATCAGCATCAACCAGCCACCTGGACCTCCTACAGCATGGCAAAGTATTGCAGAACCTCAATCTCTGACGATCATGCAACGCGAGTAACATCAAACACGTATCACTTGTCCTCCCTACCCGCGCTGTCCATAAGTCTAAGGTAGCCTCAGTAACTGACCAGCTAGTAGCCAGCTAGCTGCACCGCCGATCGATCATATATATCTCTTTACCAAGGAAGGGACACACCCTCGCAATCAGCACAATATCCTTCTGGAAGCACACCAAAAAAAAAAAAAATGGTACTGATAAAAGGCTGCAGCGAGTAAGTACCATAAGCGCTAAAGAATCTTGTATATATATGCAAGGAGCAAATCTCCAATGAGATGAGTGACACTTCATCAAGCATGACAGGTTGTGTCGTGCCTGTGCCGCTCTGTGGTGTGGTGGTACTTAGATGGGATATCGGAGGAGGACCTGGAGCTAAAGCAAGAGGGAGGGTGGAGGGGGGGTGGAGGGGGGCTGTGGTTATCGGGTACGCTAACCGGGTGGTCTGTGTCTGTCAGGTAGGTCAGCCTGTGTGCTGCCTGGATTGGATTTTCGTTCCTTGGTGGTTATGGCGGCTTGTCAGGCGGGGTGAGATTGCGCGCCGGGGGAGGTTGTGTCAGCATTTATTTGTTGGTTATCAGTGAACCTACTGCGGTAAGAAAATGTCAACTCATTCCGATGGCGTTTCACGGAAGCAACGTCAGTGTTTGAAGCCCTACCAAATGATTTGTCGAAGTCTGGATGAAGTGCTTCCAGCCAGACTCGCGAAAGAAGCAGCAGATCACCGTCTGGAGAGATGAAGAAAAGCCCGTCATCAATCACTCCCTGTCCTCGGATACTTGTCTTACTGGGAGGGTAGCTGACATCCTTGCTTGCCACCATTAGCACAGTACTGTTTTCCATGGAGACAAGGGGTTGTTACCAACGTATGCTATGCTATGCTTTCTCTATATGCTTCTTTCTAATTATATACATGCAAGATTCTATGTGCGTTCAATATTCGCTCTCATCTATCACCTACCCGAGCAATACGGACCTCACCCACTTCCCAAATCCCCCCCCATTATTTCCCCCCCTCTTTCTCCCTATTCAATTCCTCCCTAATCAGCCTCACAAACTCCCTCTCCTCCTCGCCCACCTCCTCTTCGGTAGAGGTAACCTTCCCACCACCACCAACCAACTCCTCCAACATCCTCATCACCTCCTCCTCCCCCACCGTCTTGACCTCCTCAACACCAATATTCCTCGCCAGATTCTCCGCCCAAGCATTAGCCACAGCTGGCGGGTTCAGCATGCCCTCGTAATCACCCATAGCCTTGACCCAAGCCGCCTCGACCAACTCCCCCTTAACACTCGTCACCGTCTTCCCTTCCAAACCACAAGCAACAAACCTCGCCCATGGGTTCAATGCTTCTGATGTGACTTCGGGGCCGGGCATATCCACGTTAATAGCCGTGCCGAGGCCGGAGACGTGGCGGCGGAGGTGGACGCCTAGGGCGGCGATTTTGGCTAGGTTGCCGTTTCCATCTTCCTCACCACCCTTGACAGTTTCCCCAGTTCCTTCAAGCGCACAGCTCTCCTCCCCCTTCAACACCTCCGCCGCCTCTGCCTCCTCCGTCTCTGCCGACACCGGCGTCCAAGCAGCCCCACTCCTAACCCAAACCCCCGGATCCTCCGTCGTGAAAGCTTTCAGACCGAAAGTTTTTCGGAGGGTGGCAATGGTCGTTTTTTCTAGGAGACGCGTGTAGCACCGCACCGTGTACTTGTTGTGCTCTGCCGAGACCAAGTCCAAAATCGGCCAGAGGACGACCTGCCCTGGGCCGTGGTAGGTGGTTAGGCCGCCGCGGGGGGAGTGGAGGATTGAGACTGGGAGTTTTGTAACAACAGTGTCATCTTTCCCACCATTCATTTGTTGTGATGGTGATGGTGATGTTGATGACCCTGATGGCGATGATGATGGATAATGCACAGGTGCTGATAAACGGGCTGCTTCATCATCGGTGAGTGGACTGGTTTGCCGCCGGCCGAGGGTGTAAGTGGGTAAGGGCGTGAAGGAGATTAGCGTTGGCGTGTAGGGTTTGGAACCGGGGCGGTTGTCCTTGAGGTCGAGGAGAGAGCGGCGGAGGTGGTCTTGCAGGCGTGAGGCTAGGGCGTAGGGAGGGTAGAGGGATGGGGCCCGGTAGGGCAGGCGGAGGTGCAGGAGACGCATGTCGCTATGTGAAATGCTATGCGTGTGATTCGATTGATGGAGGAATGGATGGTGGATTGTCAGATCTCCATGCTCGTTTTCGGATGAACCTGTCGAGTGTGCCACACGATCACATCACACACTGGCCACTGCTGCTGCGGTATGTTCGGGTCATGGTTTACTTTTGGTTTTCTTTTCCCCAGACTACTGGACTTGATACAGTCTAGCGTGAAATTGCTGATCAAGGCCGTTCCCGGTTCTTGGAACCACGGCGAAGCACGGCCAGAGCGGGGATTCGATTACGGACCCCCGTTTTGTACGTGTGCGATTGGCTGACAAGGGGAATCTCAGAATCTCAGCAACTGATCGATGGTGAGCCCGGTTCGGTGAGAGTCTTCCGGTCAGTGTGATGCCGGTCACCGGTCGGTAGGTTCCGTAAAGTGGAGTATGAAAGTCTGTCTCGGACGGACGGAAGTTGCCTTAAAGTTCCCCGGGAAACCGACCATTTTGCCCACTCCTTCCTCCGGTCTCATTTTTTGCGCGCGGTGGATCCGATAGTTCGCTTTCTCTGGGTTTTGTTAGTGCAACAATTATCTGTACGCTAGCCATGCCGTGCCTGCTAGCACTTGAGCAGGGCTGCGCTACCACGACCGACCTAGGGAAGGAACAATCCAGGCACGCGCCAAGTTGGGTGACAGTGACACAAAATCCAGTGGTGCCCCCTCCTGCCTTGGATCCCAAAATCCTAAAGACCAATTGCAACAGAAGTCGTTGTGATAACTGTTTCTGAAGGTTACAACCGTGATAATCTTCACTCGAAACGGGTAGACAAAGTATAAGAAGTGGTCTGACTTTGGGGCACGAATGAAAATGTTAACGGTACCAAACCGCTGGAAACTCCACCGTCCCGTTCTTTACCTTGAACTCCACAGCGGGCTTGATTCGCGCTAAAGACGGGATGCAGCCTTGGCATCATTTTCTGCGACTTTACGTTCACACCCTCCCTCCTCGAGGCTAACTACTATGTACACACTCACATAACACACAGTATATTATACCCAATGACGATTCGACCACACATGTCAGGGTTTCATCGCAAATCCGTTAGTGATGTTATCCTCATGATTTGGGTTCCTACTGTGTAAACTCTTCACCTGACCACGGCATGTGTAGGATGAGATCCTCCTTTGCCATCGGATACGGGCAAAAATATCTTCTCAGTCTCTTGCTTCACCAACGTAACACCCCTCATCAGTCTTCAGTTCTTCCATACATCGTTCGGTATGAGTGGCTTGCTTGTGTTCCTTTGCTCAAGCTTCAGTGGCTTTCAAGGAGTGTTGAGAATCAGAAGTCGAATAACACATCTCTCCAGCTGTCGACACGCTCCTATCATGTACGTTAAGAGTACGGGATCGATATCTGGAAGCAAGTGATGATTCCTGACAGCTGCAATGGGTATGTCATTATGAACGCTAAAATCCTGAAATAAAGCAAAACCTAGTCCGCTCAGCTGTTATCCCACAACCTCCTGAGACCGGTGAGGGCTATCAACATGGCCTCATCAGTCCTGATACCTCTGCTACCCTGGTTTGGCAAGACGTTGACCCAGTGCTCGAACAGCTCCTTCGTCCGAGGGCCGTGAATGCCGATCTTGCTCAGCTCGGGGTCGTTCATGGCAGCGTATTCGAGGCCGCGCGGGCCGCCAAATGCGACAATAAGATGGGTGAAGTTGGCCTCCTTGTGCTCGGGGAAAGCTCTGTGCAGGGACTGTCCACGCTCTGATGTGCCAATGCTCAAATCGTACCCTTCCTCGTAAGGACTCTGAGTGAACACATCGGAGAGTGTCGCGGCCTTGCGAACCGTGTAACCCCAGAAGTAACCGCCTTCGGTTCTGGGAACCGCAGGATGAACAGGTTCTGGCGATCCGTACTCGCCCACGGGCATCTTCAACGTGACTCGTGTCTTGGGAGGGAGCTCCTCGTCAATGGTGACTGTGTCTTCGAGGCCAATGTCGACAACCGTTCTACAATAGAATTAGTCAACTGTTTTGTCTGTGTCCCTTAAGGAAAGCTTACCCCTTGCCGCCCTTGGGCTGAGCCTCCAGTGTCAAGCCTTCGCGATACGGCATCCACTCGCCCTTGTACGGATGGTGTGGCATGTCGAGGTTGGGAAGCAAGCCCTGAGACCTGAGGTTCGGGTGCATGGGGAACAAGAGCTTGCGCATAAAGGGCGGTGTTTCGAGGTAGTTGAGGAGATGCTCGAGGAAGTGTGCAGGGTCAACATCGCCGGTATAGCCTTCGTGATCGGTACTTGCAGGTCGAGACTCGACCGGGCTGTCGTCGTAGATGACAATCTCGTCAACGGAGAAAACCGCGCAGGCTCTCGCGATACGGCCTGCCCATGTTGTCCTTTGTTCGCGGGTCACGCAATCGGTGATGACACTAGTAGGCACCGCGACTGAAATGGTCCAGTCTCTCGCGGCCGTAGGCTTGAAACGGGCTGGCTTGGCTGATGCTGCGCTGAGAGAAGATGGTTGGCGTCCAGAACTAGGAGTCTCGTCGGCATCGATGCGACGTCTCTGTGAAAAGTGTTAGTTACCTTGTATTCGAATCAGGTCACTGGCCGACAGGAGACATGAAAGAGAACTGGTGGAAGCGGAATGGAATGAGCATGGGAGAGGAATGATGGACGACATGGACGGTCTAAGGCTGGATGGGCATATAATCCTGTCTCAAGATCTCCCAAGTTACAAGTCATTGTCGCCGATGCCAATACAACTTCCGCGAACTCCATCACCACCACGCGCTGGGGCATGATATCATGGCTGGGATCACCAGGTACCCGACCCTTTGCGCCGAAGCTCTTCTGCAACACAAACTCGCGAAAACTAACCTTGTATGAATGATCTTGTGGGGGTCCCATCTTGAAGTAAGTGTCTGAGTATTTACAGAACAATTGATTGGGAGAACGGGGTGGATGAATGAGCTGTACAGCGGATCCCGTCGTTGCGAGGACGACGACGACACGAGAGTTTTGGGAAGCCGATTCCTGCGGATTGGCGGCAGAATTATGAAATCTTGACCGCCCTCTTATCGGCGCGCCAAAACTGATTCTAGAACATTGATCATAACCCTAACCCGCAAATAAAGTAATTGCGAATAACAGCCATCCAGGTCCGGGTTTCTTTCATTGGTCTTCCCTAGCAACTCCCTTGTATAACAGCGCTTACACCGTCGTCATCGCGGATACACCGAAAGGCCAGATCACGAGAAGACATCTATCATTGTTACTGCACCAAACATCATCGCGCGATCCTGTCAAAAACCGGAAACCTTCAGAAATTCATAGGTCTCAAAATGAGCGCTACTGTTAAAGTCGGATCTTCGACGCAATGGCGCCAGATCTTAAGCTCGTCAGCCATCGTGGTCGCGGACTGTAGGTCACTTCACTCCACCATCTATGCATGAGGACAATGACAATGTCGCTGACCTTTTTCTAGTCTATGCGGACTGGTGTGGTCCTTGCAAGATGATCGCTCCAGTGTTTGAGTCGCTGTCGGCCAAATACTCCAAACCCAACAAGATCACCTTCTGCAAGATTGACGTCGATAGCCAGCAGGAAGTGGCCCAGCAGTATGGCGTGCGCGCCATGCCGACCTTCCTCATTTTGCACAACGGCTCTGTGATCGACACTATCCAGGGAGCTAACCCCCCATCTCTTACGGCCGCCGTTGATAAGGCTGTCAAATTGGCCGGCGGTGCTGCGGGTGGTGGTGCTGTTTTCAAGACCGCCGGACACCGACTCGGGGGCAGTGGAGCAGCCGGGTCCCGCCCCGGGACATCGGTAGCCCGTCCGTGGAAGTGGGATCTCAACAGCTTGATCAAGACAATCATCGCTTTTATTGGACTTTACATCACTTCGCTGTTTTCGGTAAGGGATTACTACCGTCCTCTTCGAGTCTGGAAATGTTTTACTAACAAGGCCCTCTTTAAGCTTGACCCATACAAGGCGGCAGAAAACTCCCCATTCAACAAGAAGAATCCTCCACCACAAGCACGGTCATCTACGGGCAGTGCTGCTGGAAAAAAGCCCGCGCCGCGCGCTACGTTCAAGACGTTGTCTGACTTGGGCAATTAGAGTTGGTGACCAGAGCAGTAAGATATCGTTAAGCGTAGCATGCTGGAGTAAGGGCGTCGAAGGCGTTTCGGACAGGCGGCAGTTGGTCTTTGGTCTCCTCGCCGCATTTTTTCCTAGTTTCTTTTGCCCTTTTGGAAACTGATACTTATTAATCAAAAGACACATAGCACCTGTTTATGCCTTTTCTCGTTGTAGTTGCCACCGTGACAACCCCTCTTCGTGTAAATAGGGGCCCGGTGATAGGCCACTGTCACGTGTGAACGTGTGGTCCGTGTATCCACTAAAACATAAGCTAGACAGAGGACCCTTCTCTGCATTTTTGTTCCTGAAACCTTTGAATATCCTCAACCAGACATATCCTCAAGTCCCGGCGATTCAAGATGCTTTCGGCGGGTAGACTTCAGAACCGATGCCCTGGCTGTAGGCAGCAGGTCTTGAGCTTTTACGATGCTCTTCTGCAGCAGCGCACCAGGGTAGCTACCCGGCCACTTTTACGCCCATCCCCCACCAGTCCCGCAGCGCGTCGCGGTTTGGTTCGACATATTTCTTCCACCAGATCAGTTTTCCAAGAAGCAACACAAAGCACTGCCGGCGCTACCTCGACAGAACCCCCAGCCGAAGACCCCGAGCTAAGCCGCGAAGACGCCGATTATGATGCCGAAACATTCGTACGCCAAGCTCGTCAGACATTCAAGCACACACTTCCCTATGGCTACTTTACAGAAGAAGAATACAAGATCTACGAGCGACTATACGGCGCACCACTTCGCGAGACAGTACCAGACGATGTCGGAATACCACAACTTGGCGGTGTAAATGTCGGAGGGCAAAACGGGCCACAGCGTACTCTGTTTATGGAAACTGAGTCTGGACATTTCGAAGAGGTCGAATACACCATCGAGCAACCTCCTGTGGAGGAAAGCGATGTAGAAGCCGTCGCAGAATTACGCCCCCTTACCGAGGCTCAGATCGATTACCTAAACGTAACGGCCAACAACAAACGCGAGTTCGCTGCGCTTATGAGACTGCAAAGGGACTTTGAGGCGGCCAGTCTTCGCCCGCTTGAGGAGATTGTGGAGGAAGAGGAGGTTCAACAAGAGGAAGAGGTGGAACACTTTGAGGAGGAAGAGGGTGTTGAAGAGGAGGAAGAAGGGTGGCTCTTGCCTGAGAAATCTGTCAACGACAGAATTCATCCTCATACCGCCATCGGCATCTTCAAGACCAAGCCGAGCACGCTGCTTCTTCCCAAGAAAACCTTTACCGAGCCTATCAAAGATCTTCTCAGCCGCACCAACCCGACCCACGTCCGTGAACATGCTGAGCAAGTCTTTGGTGGTCCGGGACTTCCACATTCACCGGCCACGCCGGCAACGAAGAAGAACCTGGGACAGAAGCCTGTGGCAATGCAGGCAGGCCATCATAGGATGAGCGCGATCGAGGCAGACACCTATATCACCACCGTACTCCCTGGTCTTTATGCCACTTCAACCAGCATCTTGGTTGAGGTCCGCAAGCGCCTTGGTTCTGAGTGGCTTCAGGGACTCCTAACTAACGGTACGGGCCCGCGAGTTCTCGACGTCGGCGCTGGTGGAGCAGGTCTTGCTGCGTGGCAGGAGGTTCTGCAAGCGGAGTGGGAGCTACTTCGCGAGCAAGGCAAGGTTCAAGGTCGCGAGCCCCTTGGAAAGAAGACCGTCGTTGTAGGTTCCGAAAACTTGCGTCAACGTGTGTCCCAGTTCCTTCACAACACAACCTTCCTTCCCCGACTACCCGATTACCTGCATTCGGCCGAGGGAGCTGAGCGCATGCTCGACTCTGATGGCGGACCCGGGCAGAGAAAGGTTTTCGATGTCATCATCGCTTCTCATCAACTGATGCCCCTCGACAAGACCTATAAGCGCAAGGATTTCATCGACAACCTTTGGACCATGCTTAATCCCGAGGGCGGTGTTCTCATCGTTTTGGAGAAGGGTCACCCCCGTGGCTTCGAGGCTGTGGCTGATGTCCGCGACCGTATGCTCAACGAGTTCATCATCCCGCCCGTCCCCGTAGAGACTGGCGAGGATATGACAGCGGTCCCCGAATCAGGACGCATTCGCGAACCTGGCCACATCATTGCCCCTTGCACGAACCATACCAAGTGCCCCATGTATCTGACCCCAGGGCACAGCGCAGGACGCAAGGACTTCTGCCATTTCAGCCAACGATTCGTCCGCCCTTCTTTCCTTCAGAGAGTCCTTGGTGCCTCGCACCGTAACCACGAGGACATCGAGTTCAGCTACATTGCCATTCGCAGGGGCGCCCACCCAGACGGTGTCAAGTCCTCGTCCAGTGGATCCAACGTGACCGATCCCGCCTCATCATTCTTCCAAGGCCCAGAAGCTGTTGACCGCGCCTTCAAGGGCTACGAAGACGTTGAAGCCGGTACTCCCCATGCTCTGTCTCTTCCCCGCAACGTCATGCCGCCTCTCAAGAGCAAGGGTCACGTCACGCTCGACCTCTGCACCCCAGCCGGCACCATCGAGCGCTGGGTGGTTCCCAAGTCCTTCTCCAAGCAGGCGTACCACGACGCCCGCAAGGCCAAGTGGGGTGACCTGTGGGCCTTGGGAGCGAAGACTCGCACCCGTCGCGAGATTCGTCTTGGCAAGGCCGGCAAGAACGCCGAGAACCTCGCTAAGAGTCTCAAGAACCCCGACGACGGCGGCGTTCGCTCCCGTGAACTTGCTGGCCTCGGCTCCAAGAAGAAGCCTAGAGTGGTCGAGGTTACCGTCGATCCCAACACGAACAGAATCCTTGCTGCCAGTGAGAAGTATCCCAACGGTAGAGCACCGGTCGAGAGGAGGACGAAGAACGGTAAGAAGGTCAAGATGAACGACCTCATGGACGAGCTTCAGGACGATCCCCGTCATGGGAAGTATGTCGATCCTGATGATATCGAGGATGAGGAGTTTAGACGGGCGCCACTCCCTGAAGGATTTTTGGAGAAGGGCTTGTTTGGTGACAAGAAATAGAGGGGAAATGGGCAAAGTCGCGGTGTGTAAGATATATGGATGCGAGATATGGAACACAGGTGTCCTTACAATACCCTATGGAAGCAATATCAATACTACAAAGCTAAATGTTCTCTGCGATAAGTCTATGAACTGCTTCGGGGCAGTTTCTCTCAAGTACGTTACGACTTCAGCTTGTGCCGCCATGGCTTCTACATAATGCGAGGCGCGAACCTCTCAACCCAAACACTTGTGCCCCCACGCTGCATACAGACCGTCACACATCTTGTTCGAGTCAGTTGTCTTGTACAGTGCAAAGACCAATGAAGCCATCGATATGTTTGACATTCTGCGTTCCTGGTCAGTCTAGCAGCCTTCACTTCCCCATTCTCGGGTTGCCAAATCCGGGGTTATCATCGAGGCTGTTGCTGTGTGTGGAGCATTGACCCGACGTCTTGGATATTTCCCTATGAATAAATGGTGGCTTGCTGGGCTGAATTGTAAATAGTTGCCACATCCAGTCAATGTGGTACACACTCTTTTTTTTTATTCAGTTAGCCAAAAAGCAAACCGAAACACTAATCGTCACGCAGTCTCGCAAAATTGGCGTGAGAAGTGGTACCTACTGCGTACACAGCAGCAGCAGCAGCAGAGCGGTCCCCCTTTGGCCGACTAATCGGGCCTCATCACGCCTCGAAATCCATCCCGTCCCGTCCTGTCCTTTTGGTCGAACAATAAGTGAAAGCCATTGTAGGATGAACAACTCAATAACCCGCCCTTGCTGCACAAGGTAGGTATGTAACCCTTTCATTCCATCAACGAGCCAATTGGCTCTAGAGGGCACATGAGACCAGGTGTTCCAGGCTGAGGCAAATATGATGCACTCCTACCTAGAATTTATACTGCTCAATGCTGCGCGTAGCCAGGACAGGTTCGCCCTATCTGCAAGGCTGGTGTGGGTTACAACGTTGTGCTGCAGGTAAGGGTGAGTGAGTGAGTGAGTTGAAGAAGCCTGTTGTTTGATCAAGTCCAGTCGATAATCGTGTTTGTGCAACGGCATACGAAGCACTGCAAACCGGATAGCTTCTAGGTCGTATGAAGGCAAAGTATATAAACACAAGCGCTGGAGGAGTATGTAGTCTGTGTAACGTTCAGTTCTCAGCCAACGAAATGGGATATATGTAGGGAAGCGAGTAACAAATCGGTGAGATGGATAAATCGAAAACACCTTAATGGGTTGAGATTGAGAGTTTGCAAGGGACGGTTTCGACCAGAAGGAGTTCAAGATTGATCCCTGAATATCAAATCCTTCCAATGTTAAGCGGGCATTTGGCCCCACACTCTTCTTCTCCTTCCCGAACGGCATGGCTCGTGCTTGAGGTTGGGGTGGGCCAGCCTGGCCAGTTTGTCGCACAATGAGTGGCTGGAACGCACCTGTTCGCTGCTGACGATTGATCCACCTCACAATCTGGCCGACCCAATGTTCTCGCCCCCGCCGACCACAACTGCGCTGGGCGCGCAGCACAACTTCCACTTGTGCAGACCGTGTGCGGTCCCCCGTCAAAACCGACCCGTTCCAGTTGTTGAGGTCTTCACCTCGCACTGGAACTGCATCTGCAGCGGCCACTGGAAGGAAGGGCCAGCGGGCGCCCCTGCACTGTGCGGGTAGCCGAGTCCTGCTCGCTCCAGTCCAATTTTACGCTGACTTCATCTCCGACTTCAATTTCGTCCACAACTTGCCTTCTTCACTTGTACACTGTCGACCAAACTCCCTTCGCTTTTCCACTGCACTTCCCGATCCCTTTTTGCCCTTCTCTTTTCCCTTCTTTCGCATCCCCCGCCCGCTGCCCTCACTCCTGGCGACTCACACTCTCTTACGGCGGCTCACACGCACAACGACACAGTTTCCAAGTCTTCCAACTACTTTCCCCGATTACGACCTGCCCAGCGTTCCCCGTTGCTGTACCCCAGAAACCCCGTATCGGCCTTCATCACCTTTTCGGCTTTGGCTCCTTTTCGACCGACACCACTGCAACCCCCATCGAGCCTCTGCTCCGTCGCCGCCGCCGCCGCCCCCTCTTTCCACTTCGTCATCGTCAATCGGTTTGCGACTTCCAGCAAGATATAGTTAAACGTCTGCGGCTCGTTTGTCCAGAGTCTTTATTCTCTTCCCGCTCGCCCGCCATCCTTCTTTTCGGATTCGATCCCGGTAACCCTTGTCTTTGAAGAAAGTCAATTGGGGACATTCATCATCGAGTTCCAGACGCAACTAAAAGGGGCCCACCAATCCGCTCCTTCGCTGTTCCTCGAGACTCGGAAACGGCAATACTGTAACAGCACAATAACTCGATTCAATCACTTCTTTTCTTCTTCAGAACATCAGTCAAAATGCCTTGCGGACTCGGAGGTTCGAAAAATGTGCAGCGCAAGCTCGTCTTGCTGTGAGTTTACACATACCCTTACCTTGTCCCGTGTCGGATTGATCGGCGCGACATCACAATGCGTGGAGATACTCCATGGCTATGAGGTCAATTGCTGACTCGACCTCTTGGCAACAGCGGCGATGGTGCTTCCGGAAAGACCTCACTACTCAACGTTTTCACAAGAGGGTATGTTTGCGATTGAACTGCCAATGCCAGGCAATCTAAGGATATGCGCTCAACCTCCCGTCCAGCTATTTCCCCACTGTATACGAGCCGACCGTCTTTGAGAACTATGTGCACGGTACGTACAAAGCGTAATTGACGAAGTGTCCGCCAACACGGTACTAATGTTTGCCCAGATATCTTCGTCGACAATGTCCATATCGAACTGTCATTGTGGGATACCGCCGGCCAGGAAGAATTCGACAGGCTACGAAGTCTATCATACGGTAGGTTCTTCACATTTCCCGGGAGCCGCTAACCACATTATGCGAGCGACGTCTGACTTACGGTCTACTAGATGACACCGATTTGATCATGCTTTGCTACTCCGTCGACAGCAAGGACTCTCTCGAAAACGTCGAAAGCAAATGGCAAGGCGAGATTGCCGAAAACTGCCCGGGCGTCAAAATTGTTTTGGTGGCGTTGAAGTGCGACCTGCGCGAGGCAACCGAAGACGAGGAGGATGGAGCCAACGAGGACGGCGCTCAGCGGGAGAAGAAGCCAATGATCAGCTACGACCAAGGCCTGGAAGTGGCTCGCCGGATCAAGGCCCTCCGATATCTCGAATGCTCCGCCATGCGCAACCGGGGAGTTAACGAAGCCTTTACCGAGGCGGCGCGTGTCGCTCTGTCAGTAAAGAAGGATCGCGAGGAGTCGAAGTGCGTGGTCATGTAAGACGGCAGACCGAATAGCCCGGATAATGGCCCCAGCATAGGCCGTCCTCTCGAGCCTCGATGCTAGGCAAAATTGCGTTTCATACGCATGATCGACGCAGATGAGAGCACCACTAGCAAGCACGGGCAACCACATCTATGTCTCCCGACCAGCTCATTTACGCCATCGCCCAAGAGGGACGCCTATACGACGCCGATACCGGACATTTCTGTCCTACGATGCACACGATTTCACAACCAACAGTGGTTCCCTTATCAACTTTTTGTTTTTCCACCACCGGTTCTCGCTCTTGTCTTACTGCATCTTCTGGCCTCCTCTCTTCGAGTTATCAATATCCTGTTTCTCGGTGTGTTGTTGGGTGGCTGGGGGAAAATTGGAGTTTACAACAACAAAGTTTTGTTTCCTATTTCTTCGTTTCTGCATTGTACATAATTTGGTCCTTTTTCTTTGAATCTGCATATACGGACGGGCTAGTGGGGACGGACTCTGAAGACATGTCGAGATGGACGCAGAACTCTTTAAACATACGACATGGAGGGTTGAAGCGGCACAGGGTTAGGCTGAAGGAGGAGGGTTTGTTTGACAGCGGAAAATATAACTGTGTTCAACCGCTGATGTTTATCTGCTTGGGCAGTCGCTGAGAACTGTTTTTGTGGTCTGGTTGATTTGATATAAGAGGTCTTCGCAACAACTGTTTTGAGCAATATCATTAACATAGAGTGTTAAAGTTTGGTGGTTATACCAACAGTCCACGATATCTGCTAAATCCTGTGCCGTAAGTCCATCAACTTAGGAAAGGCTCATATGTATACATTCTTTGGTATTATCCCGCGGAAGCTGAGTTGAGCTGCCAACCGATTTCAAGCTGCAACTGAGCATCTCCGAGTTTCCCGTTGCACAAGTTCATAAATGGCTATAACATAGCAACTGAATGAGATACTCGGACTCGGTTTGAATTAGGTCTGAGGGGGCTTCTAGCTTAGACGAGTAGTATGCCAGATTCTATAACCTTGACTCGAGCATCTCCGGTCTTGTCCCGCGGACATTGGAATTGGATGGGGGACTCTTATCAGTCTTATCATTTGACACTTCCGAGCGGCGATTACCGTATAATCTCGGGAAATTCAGATTCCAGGACAGGCATAATCAGTCCGGCAACGCAGGGTTATAGCTCTGCCATTTGCTTCTACAGACACGTACATACAGTCAGACGCAACTGGCAGACGTTTAACCCTACAGAATCCGCACGATTATGCCTGTCCTGGAATCTGAATTTCCCGAGATTATACGGTAGTAGGTATACATCGATGGACGGGATATTGGGGTGCGGAATTGCGTGCGGGTAGCATGGAGTTCCATTACCAATCGAACTTCAAAGCTGGGGATGCTTTGTGTTAGTGTCTTATCAGCTGCTATACTTGCTAAGGCCGCTCTACGCACTTGCTCACCCTCTTACTGCTTACCGAATTCAGCAAAATTTGTATTACGTTTCAGGAAAAACTAAACCATTTTTGAGGAATATAGGCCTTTGTATGTTTCTCTATAGCAGTACATGGCGTAGCATTTGTTAACAAACCAACACCACAACAATCAAGCATCGACCGACCGACAGCCGAACGCAGCGGTTCAACCGTTGCCGCGACCGCAGGGGACTGCGGCCAAAGCGGGTCCCTCGAGAATGGCGTCAGCGGGCACTAAAAAGATTCTGTCAATTCTTGCAACCAAAAGAGAACTGCCCACAGAAGAATCCTGCCCTCTGAGTGGCCAAATCCGTTTGAATGGCGATGATTACCCCTGTTTCTTTGTCGACTTACATCCCCATTCTCAGCGGAGTTGCTGGAACTTCTGTAGCCGCCTCAACGTGGGGAAAGAGGATGAAGTGACTCCATTCTTGAGGGACGACATGACATGACTACGACCGACCGGCCGGAGTCCGGAGGTAGGTTTAGTAAGTAGGAGGGAGAGTATATAAACTTCAGAGAGTCCCGTAACTTGAAACTTCTTCCAAGCTACCTCGATCAGAAACCCGAGTCATCCATCTATCTGTTGTTTTGGGGAATACCTCTACCCGTGAACACTCATCCCATCTCTTTGATACCCTACCCTACAACAGTTCATTAACCTTACCTTGTCTTTGACAATCGCCTTACCTCGAGCACGTTTTCAAGATCAAGCAATCAAGCTCGTTTCATACTCAGATTTACGGAACTTAGGCCGTCCCGAGTGCGTTTTCAGGACCTCGACGAACGAGGGACTCAGAGGGTTCTTTTCAGAGAACTCCCCATATTCAAGCCTCAAAACATCCTCCTACTGGAGGTGGCAAAGATGGCATCCGCAAATTTACCTACGGGCCCCTCGGCCTACCATACTACCCTTCTCACGGCACAGGATTGTCGAGAACATGTTCACCTCATTATCGGCTCCAATCCACTGGCGGCATCCCGAGTCTCCCAGTCCCTCAGCGTGGGCGCAAACCCCATTTTGATCGCTCCGGTTTCGGCCACCCCATCAACAACAGAGTCGGATGTGACTCCAACAGCATCAGCAGACTCACAACAAAGTCAAAAGCGGGAGCTACACCACAGCCTGGCCAACTACATTTCTTCCGGCGCCCTAACGCACCTGGATCGGCCTTTCTCCGATGAGGACCTCTTCACGCTCGGCCGGTCCGAGGTGGACAACGTCGTGGACGCCGTTTTTGTGACACACCACGACCAATCGCTGGCCGAGCGGGTATCGGCCCTGTGCAAGCGCAAGCGCATTCCTGTCAACGTGCTGGACAACCCGGCGCTGTGCTCTTTCAGCCTCCTCAGCGTACACGTCGACGGCCCGCTGCAGATTGGCGTGACAACCAATGGCCGGGGCTGCAAGCTGGCCAGTAGGATCAGGAGGGAGGTGGCTTCTGCGCTGCCCAAGGGATTGGGAGCCGCGTGTGCCCGACTTGGAGACGTGAGGAGGAGAATCATCACCGAGGACGCAGAGGCTAGGACTGCGGCAGAAAGCGCCATTGCCGCCGCGGTGAACGAAGGCGTCGACGACTCTATCGACCAGTCGGCAACGTTTAACAAACTTGTTACAGAGCTGGACGTGCAAGCCGAGGCGGCAAAGACGCGCCGCATGCGGTGGTTGGCGCAGGTGTGCGAGTATTGGCCCCTGAAGAAGCTGGTGGAGATCACCGACGATGACGTGGAGAGCATCCTCCAGGCATATCCCGGGTTCAGCAGCGACAACTCCTCGGCATCACCACAACCCATTTCCCCGGGCGCCGTCAGCGAGGGCGGCAGCAGCAGCAGCACTACCAGCAATGGCCGTCTCGGGCGCATCTTCCTCGCCGGCAGCGGTCCGGGCCATCCGGACCTCCTCACTCGGGCGACATACAAGGCTATCCAATCAGCCGACCTGATTCTCGCCGACAAGCTGGTTCCCTCCGGTGTTCTGGATATGATCCCGCGCCGGACTCCCGTCTCGATCGCGCGCAAGTTCCCCGGAAACGCCGATCGTGCGCAGGAAGAGCTGCTCGAGCAGGCTCTGGAGGGTGTTCGTGCGGGCAAGACGGTGTTGCGGCTCAAGCAGGGCGATCCCTTCATCTACGGACGCGGCGGCGAGGAGGTGGCTTTCTTCCGGGAGCACGGGCTCGGCGATCGCGTCGTGGTGTTGCCGGGCATCACGAGCAGCTTGAGCGCGCCGCTGTTTGCGGGTATTCCTGTCACCCAGCGCGATGTGTCGGACCAGGTGCTCATCTGCACCGGAACGGGAAAGAAGGGCAAGGCGCCGGTGCCGCCTGAGTATGTCGGCAGTCGTACGGTCGTGTTCTTGATGGCTCTGCATCGTATCGGAGGATTGATCAAGGAGTTGACGACGCGTCTCGAGGAGGTCGATGGGGTTGCGGAGGTTGAGGAGGGCGAGAAGCAACGGGCTCTGTGGCCGCTAGATACACCGTGTGCGGTTATCGAGAGAGCGACTTGCCCAGATCAGCGAGTTATCCGAACAACGCTCCGGTATGTCGAGCAGGCCATCGAGCAGGAGGGTAGTCGCCCACCGGGTCTTTTGGTTGTCGGTCGCGCCTGCGAGGTTCTGTACACGCCAAAGCAGGAGGGGCAACCTTGGGTCGTGGAGGATGGTCAGTTTAAGGACCTTGATTTCGAGGATTCTTTGGGTCTCTCGCTTGACGCCACTTCGGGTGTTGCGCATACTGGATCAGCATGATAAGTTCTACCTGAAGGCGCACTCTTGTTCAATTCTTGTCACATAGTTTACTGAGATATCCCTTTTCTCCTTCCCGTTGCTTTATTTGCCATAGCCCAGCCACCAAATTACACTGCGTGCCCGAGGCAGCCACGCCTTCCTGCAAGATACACTTCAGTCTCCAAGTCTGCAATGTCTTCACATCACAGCATCGAGGGCGGGCAGTCGCAGCGGGCAGTCGATCCCTCGTTCTTTCCTCCACAGTTCAGCTGGCTGACGATCTTTGCGTTCTGATTCCTTGATGTCGCGTGGGGTGTTTGCAGTTGGGGCCAGTCCAGCTGTGGTGGTGTCCTCGAGGTGACTCGCTCAGCCGAATTCGGATCGTGGCGCATGATGCAACTGAACATTATCAAACAATATTGCACCGTGCCTTCCACCTGAGAGTCCAAAGAGTAGCTGAACTGACTTGAGGTTGCATCATGTGAGTTCCTTCCCTCTTTCCGTCTCTGGTGTGCTTACCGTAGAAGTGTAGTGATGTGACTGGATTGAAGATCTCTATCCAAGTATAAAGGAGGCCTTACGGACTCAGCTTGCGCAACCGCATTCGAAAACATGATCATACTTCGGAGTCTTCCATCTTTTGTTCCAACACGCCAACCTTCTACTTACTAGATAAGGTGGTTTCCTAGAAAACAAAAGCACGCCTTTGGCCTCGCCACACAGCTGCCAACCCTCTTTTCAGTCGAACTCGATCCATCTCCGACAATAGGGTCACCGATGACTCCCAAACTCCATCTATGTCGCCTTGTTTTCCAACAGGCAGACAAAGCTGGGTAGGCCCTATTGTCGCAGCCGAGTTTACCTCCTCGTAACTCCGCAAGTCTACGTACTGTTAGACCCATCGGCATCCCACTCGACCACTCGCGGAATCATCTCCATCTTCCGGCAAGGCAACTGAGAGAACAAACCCTGGCTTAAACAATGGGGACTGTCTGCCCTGCCGCGCGGTGAGCCCGGCCGGTGTGGGTCCGTTGCCTTCTGCATTGCTAATTTCAACCTCCCTCATTCATCCATCACACACGAGGCGAACGTCGACGTCAACCCACCACCATCCATCTCGCAGGGCGTTCTACGAACAAGCATTATGACCAGGATTCACGGTTTCTCCATGATGATTTTTGGATATCTTCGCCTGTCCAAGTCGAGCGATCACATCTGACAAGATGTATCCTTACTCTGCTTGCCACGTTAACATATTCATCGCCATCTAATCCTCCGCAGCCCAGGATTGTAGGAGCTTTGCCTCCGTCGTTTCGTATTCATCCATCTCTCTAGATCGTTTTGAGGGCCATGCTATGGTACTACGATATCCGATATCCGCCAAGTGAGAGGTCATGTTGCGTTTCGGACCAAAAGCATCGGATCGCCTTGGGTACACTCCGGTAACCATCAGTATCTCCGACTGGAGGATCCCAAAAAGTTCAATAGCTCGATGCTGTGTAATATGAGCAAACAAGACACTATCGTTTCGTAAGCTGACAGTGAGTCGTGAATGTGTAGCCTTCGAGTGATGGCTAGTATCCCCTGAATCCTGACAGCTTTCAATCGTCACGCCCATCAACCCAACAAATCGGCATGGGCTATCATGTCGCGATAAGGCTGTCTCAAGGCTCTATCAAGACTCAACAAACAAGTTAAGGTTTATCGTACCTGTCAGCACGGGATCATGCTCTCAGCGCGTTTCTGGGGTTTCACGAGGAAGGGGGTTAACGAGCAAACTGCAATATCAAGGGAAACAAAGTGAAGGCAAATCAACTGGAACCTCTTGATACTCGAATATGATGCCATGAAATGCCAAAGGGTCACTGTGGCGGCCCCCCGCTTTACAGCTCTGTACATCTTGTCACGGCGTTCTGATGGTGCCGTTCCTGCAGCCACCAAGCCCGTTTTAGCCCGTCGTTCACTGGAAAGCCCAACAAGAGATGCCGATGAAAGCCAGAAGGTAATCTAGGCTTGACTCCCCATCTAGATCAGGCAACCTTTGCGAGTTTCAGAATAGCGGTGAACAGAGATGATATCGGAATGTGTCTGGTTATCGATATAACTGCAATAGGCTGGTTGCCTGTCGTCTGGCAAACTTCAGCCGTTTGGCATATCGCCATCTCAAGTGGCATTGTTGACGATGAGATCCGACACCCACAGATTCCCTTGCAAATGCATGGCACTTGTGGGATCGGGGAGCCAATATTACAAAGGGACTTGTTGACTTTGTCCTCTCCCGTCTGTATTCGTCAAGTTGATAACGCGAGCGACTGCCTCGGCAGTTGCCTTGCCAAGGCACAACATCCCCAACCTGTGTATTGGTAGCAAGATGAGCACCTGTGATCACGGTTAAGGCTAGGGTCTCCGAAATCGCTTTTTATCAGGGGAGTGTCGTGGCCGTGACGGGAATTCCCAACGAATCTAACTTGAACCCCAACCACTCTGGCTCGTCTGGGTATCCCACCCGGCCAGCCCTATCAAAGTTCCAGAACCGTGTTCTGGCCAAAGCCGGAACGATATCGACCCAGACGATTAACGATCGAGGGATTGCCTAGTTTTATGGGTCAATGCTTCCGATCCAAATGGAATTGTGACTGGCCAGTTGAACAAGAACTGCCCAAGGCCTACCATCGTCGAGACAATACACGGGCCCTGCCCGAGGTCCACGTAGCCGTCGGTCAACAGTCCCGCCGGTTTATAAATACCATAGAGACCCAGGTGAGTGGGACACTAAGGAGTTGCACACTGCAACGCGCATTTGAGCCAACCTTGACCACATCCTGCTGTTCTTCACTCCTCAACATAGCAGAACCCATCAATCCACCTACTTCGCCCAACCTTTTGCTGCCTTGAGCTCATAGTCGCACGCGTGTTGGAAAATCCCTTGCCCTTTACGCAACTCGTTCCTGGCATCCCAGTTGCCTATGAACTCGGGGCGCTCCTGCTACAAACAAACATTTCCAATATCTCTACATCGACTCGATTTACGCCAGCACGATGTTCATCGACGCTCAAGCCGTGGATGGTCATACTTCATGTGGTCCATCTGAAGATACATCGCTCCCGAAGGAAGAGGCAACGCATTCCCCGCCGGATAATGCAGAACATGACGGGTCATCCGAGACGTCTAAGGTCTCTATGATCGTTCACAATGGATCCATAAGGTCAGTTGAATTCTCCATGGGTGATCACATGTATCAGTCCTAATACGACTTGATAGCGAGGGTGCCGCCTCGCCTAGAGTCTCATCAGCCGACAGTCCGGCACAGAACGTGTCGGAGTCTATAACTGAAGACTCGCGGACCACCTCTTACGTTACCGAGTGTCAGGCCGACCACTCCCGCCTGTTCGAAGCCAAGCACAACAACTCCAATGTCATCGAAGACAGACAGGCGGAGATGGCGGCACGCCTGGTTACCATGATGATGCCTCTTGAAGGTCTCGTCGACCGATACCCTGCCATAATTATCGAGGCGACGGAGGAACTGATCGATTAGTCTCTCGACTTGCTCGCCGGCTCACGGGAAAGGATCATGTTTTGCCCTTCACACACGAGATGGCCACATACACAGGTTGGTCCAGGAAAGGTAGACATATACTTGTAGAATGCGTATGATTTTGGAAAGAGGCATGTAGGAGGATGGGACTATAGAACTTAGGCACTCATCATCCCCGGAAGAAACCAACTAGAGGTCCGGTCAGCACCCCCATACGGTAGATCAAAGGCATCAAATCATTGTTGGATAGAACAGTATTCTTACCGTATCGCGCGCTTTCCTATTGACCTGCTGTGATCATCCAATGAGCAATAGATTTAGCTGTGTACACCAAGTATCAGTGTGCGTCGTTGCCAGTCTGCTCGAGGCCATCGCTTCAATCGGCCACCTGCATTTGGTCATCGGTTGTTTGTACCATCCCGCTTCCGTGGCAACCGATTTCGAGGTCGAGTATCAGACTGTGGAAGAAGGAGCATCGATAAAAGCCAAGGCCGCATGACCCAAGGCTTTTTCCGCCCCCTCCCTTACCTCATCACCTTGCCTTTGTTTGGTACCGCGCCACACAACCGTCGCTGGAACCTTACAAAAAACAATTAACCCCGAACCCGTACCACCGTCATCGCACAACACCCATTCAAACCTTAAGTTGACTCACCTCGCCGAAAACCTTTCCGTCATCACCTTCACTTCACAACCCGAGTCAAATTTTCCTCCTCCTTCACCAGTTGGTACCAATTTCCCGGTTGCGCAAGCGTTGAAAGCCTTCGTCGGATGCAACATACATCCTCGTATTTTTCCACCTACAAATAAACCAACACGCGTGCGGGTAATTTCTTCTCTCCCACCACGAAAGCTCACAACACCGTCTTTCGCACCGCGTAAAATCTGAACTCTGCGAAAACAAGCCACCTCTAACCACTTCACTGGACTCCTTTTTCCTTCTCTAACCAGATCTAGCACCAGCTGAAGGATAATCCCCCTCAGTCAGACCTCACATCTACTGCGAACTCAAGCAGGATCCATTCCACCTGCAACAGCGACCATACATGATGGCGCAACCCTCTAGCAATCCCACTTGTTCTGGGACGGCAAATATCATCTTGCGTTCAAGTGCAGATGATCCAGAGCACATGTTACCCCACCAACGAAAGGCAGCCATGAAGAAGTCGAAGGCGGCACGACCGATCCTCGAGATTGATGGCAGAACAGGCGAGGGAGGTGGACAGCTGGTCCGCATAGCATGCGCGATCGCTTCCGTTATCACCCAGCCTATTCGCATCACTAACGTGAGGGGAAACCGCGAAGGGCCACGCGGCGGAGGTTCGTATCTTTTTTTCCCTTTTTCTCTCGCTCTTTCCCCGCTCCTTTTCTTTGTGACATGCGGTTCAGAATGACTTCCTCGGACAATCACTGACAAAGATAATAGGACTCAAAGCTCAACACGTAGCTTCCATCGAATGGCTCGCTCGCGTAACCGATGCCGAAGTTAATGGCCTTTCGGTCGGTAGCACTACCCTCGAGTTCAAGCCGCGGGAAAGCCCCGCAACTTCCAAGCTCTTCACCGGTATCCATGACCGCACCGTCAAGATCGATGCCGATTCTGCCGCGGCAAGCACGTTGCTTATCTTCCAAGCAATCTTTCCCTTCCTCCTCTTTGCCGGCGGAAATACGAACAAGAGGCAAGACCACCCTGAGCACATCGATGTGGAAATTTCCGGCGGCACCAACATCTCCTTTTCCCTTTCTTACGAATACCTGGACCAAGTCCTCCTACCGTCCCTCGAGCAAGCCTTCGGCATCGTCGTGGAACGTAAGCTTAAGACACGCGGCTGGAATCTCGGAAAGATGCAGCGCGGCACCGTGGCCCTACGTGTTCACCCCATTCGAGTCGGCGATTCACTCCGCCTCAGAAACCCGACAGCCTGCACCATGAAGGGCAGAAACAGACAAGGCGAGGATTTCGACCTTGAAGCTATCGACGTCTCCATCGTTGCACCGACAGACATGCACGAGTCTCTCTCCCAGGCACTAGTCCAAAACCTAGGGGACCTTTTCCCAGACGTGGAAGTCATCTTCAAGCTGCTGGAGGACAGCGGAGCCAACTCGCGCATCTACGTGCTCCTCGTTGCGCGCTCATGGCCATCCGATGACGAAGGAGGAGCCGGCTCCGGCGCCGTTTTGAGGTGGGGTAGGGACATCCTTACTTCGATGCCGAAAGCAGCCAACTCGAAGAAAGGCAAGAACAAGGGCGACAATGGCTCGTCATCACACGCAGGAACCGGCGGGGTGGCATCCATGAGCGAGAGCGTGGCAACCAAGGTTGCGAGAGCGTTGTACGACGAAGTTTCTACCGGTGGCGTGGTAGACGAGTTCCTCCAGGACCAGCTGGTCGCCTTCCAGGCACTTGCGAGCGGGCTTTCGGCTTTCCCTCGTGGCAACAGCGACCCGGCCGACGATAATGTCTCGGGACCGGGCATGGAGGAGGCCATGGCGGCGCTGGACCTCACCGACGAGAATGCCACTCAAGGGCTGCGGAAGGATAAGACCACCGAGCCGTTTGGCGAGGGCTCTCTCCACGCGAAGACCGCACGCTGGATGGTCAGCGAGCTTTTGCCCAACGTCAAGTTCTACAACAAGGGCAAGGTCTGCGAGGGCGCCGGCTTCGCCGTCGAGAAACCGTAAATCTGGGGGCCTACTCATTCACTTCGTTTGGGCTGAAGTATCGTGGCCTGAACGGTCGGACACTACATCACTTTCTGTCAGGATCTGGCAAATCCGGCACGATGACCGCGACACACAGCATACCGACAGGCACTGCTATTCAGAAGGCAGAGGGCGTTTCCACTCGATGGGTCATGACAGTCTGGCAACCAGACAATAAGCCAAGTAGCGGAATCCAACTTGCTTGCTGAGATATTCTGGGGCACTCGACTCTGAAATGCCGTTTAGGGCTTAGGCACATGTAGTGCATTCTTAATGTTTGTTTTCTTTCTTTTTCTCGTTTGTCTTTGAGGTATCTCGCTGCTTTTCTTGCTTTTAAGAAGTGAAAGTGCACTTCTATCACCAATCTTGCTTCAAAGGTTTACAGTCTTGTTCAAGTACTCTCCTCAAAGAAGTTCTCTTAGGAGTTTTTCTTCCTATTAAGGCAGTTGCTTAAGAAGGAATCTGCACCACTATCTCAATGGTTATCTTCAAGGAAGAAGATCATGGAAGCTCTGCTTCCTCAAGGATTGGCTGTTGAAGTACTGTGTTCAAGTACATTATCTTCTCAGCGGAGCCTTCGTCGTCAGGAGGTAGTACATCGTTGCCTTTTATGCAGTCGGCTAGCAACGACAGCACAAGCACCATATCCAGAATAGGCATCTCGACGTCGGCAAACCGCAAGGCGCTGCCTTCAGGAGCGACTAATTTTTCCCCCAGTCATCTTCGTTCTTTGAACAAACTCTTGTCCAAGTAGTTTCTTTGCTCTAATTGGCAGATACCTCATTCGACAGCATGAAAGGATAGTCTCAGATAGGATCATGGTCCAACTGCCAATCAAGTGCGGCAGCACGCACATGGTATCGTGCTTAAACGACCTCTATCAAAATATCTTTGACTCCAAGCCGCCTTTTATTGTCAAACCATTGTTGATCTTTGTGATGTGACTTTTGGACGCCGGCAACTAAAATGATCAAGAAACCGACCATATGACCTTCATCAGACCATCTTTTCCGAGACCTAAGAGATTCATTCACCTGTACTTCTCATACAGCTTGATCTCCTCCTGTCTCTTCGCCACTCTCTCAATAACTTCAGCATCGTAGAGCTCCTCGAGTGTCTTCTCGCCCAGCAACACCTCCTTCTGGTGTCTCGTCGCCTCCTCCTTGGTCATGCAGACGAGCTCCGACAACTTCAGATCCGACGACTTTTGCTCGTCCGCACCCTCACCTATCCTGATGAGGATGTCCCGGGTAGGCTTCTGCCACCTGATCAGAACGAGCTTCGTGGGGATGCCGGTGACGGCGCTCTTGGCCTTGTAGATGTCTTCGACGAGGAACGAGACCTCGCCGGGCTGGATGGGCACCTTGAGCCCGATGCAGAGCTCGCGGGGGCCGCCGGTCACGGCGCGGATGATCTTTTCTTCGCTGGCTTGGACGAAGGCCTGGATGCTGTCGTACATCTTGTCGCGGCCCTTTTGGGGGATGTAGTCGAGGGGATAACCTGAGATGGGAAAGTTGGTAAGTTACAGGAAATTCGTCAAGGAGGGCGGGAGGAATGACAGTCTCAGTCGACTTACCAGAGATCTTGAGAATAACGTGGTTCGCAACGGTATATCCAAAAACAGCCGGCATGGTTCCCAACACAGGCAGAATACGCACGCGGAAATCTGGCAGCGCCGCCAAATCACCCACATCGCCCTTCTTGAACTCATCCTCGGGCAGCGGCAGAAGCGCCGCCTTGCCCTCGCCCATCTTCTCGGTAGAGTACACCACGGGAATACCGCTGGTGACACCGAGGAGCTTCAGGCGACGCCTGGTAGCGCGCGAAAGCCCGTCGTCCGTGCTGGTTCCGATGTCACCGACCATGATCCTCGTGGGGTCGCTCTTGGTGCCGGCGCCCATGGACGAAATAACGGGGAGGTTGTTGTCATAGCAGTACTTGAGCAGCTCAACCTTGGAGTCGATGTTGTCAATGGCATCGATGACGAAGTCAGGCTTCTGCCCGTCCTTCTCCCACGCACCGAGCAGTTCGGGAGCGACCGAGCCGTCAAACTTTTGCAGGCGCAGGTCGAACCGCACCCATGGTGTGATGGCGATCAGCCGGCGCTGCAGGCATTGCACCTTGGGCATGCCAACGTCGGCGAGCGTGGCGACGGCGTGCCGGTTGAGCGAGCTGAGCGTCACCTGGTCGAAGTCGATCAGGCGCAGCTTGGAGACGCCGGAGCGGGCGAGCGTGGTGGCGGCGTGCGAGCCGACACCGCCGCAGCCGACGATGACGACGAAGGAGTTGCGCAGCTTGGCGAGCCCTTCGTCGCCGAGGAAGACGCGGTTGCGGGCTAGTTGCTCGAGAATCAGTTCGTCGTCGAAGTCGCCGTTCTGGGCCCGGTGGGCGAGCGCTTGGTTGTGTTCATCTTCTTTGTCGAGCTTGGGGACGGGGCCTTGGCGGGTTACCTGGAAGATGTCAAGCAGTTGTGCCGTTAGACTATGCGTTCTAATGGCTAGGTAAATATTCTGAAAGATGGGGAATGTCGCTTGCCTTCTGCAATTCGGGCTCAGCTTCGCCAGCTGAGCTGGGAATAGACTTCTTTAGGCGATTGAGGCGCTCGCCATGGCGGGATTGCTGGTAGCCGTAGATTGCGCCAGCAGTGACAGCCGCAGAGGCGAGGGCAACTGTCGCAAGCTGGAGCTTCGATTGATTTGTTGAGTTGGACAGGAAGGACGACATGACGTGTTATGGGTGTCTCATCGGTCGAGACTCGGATTATCGGTATATCGTGACCCGATCAACAGCTCAAGTGTTTTTGGATGACAGAAGGCCGTCTCGTTATCAGTACCTTATCGCGACATATTTCCCCAGAAAATTTGGAGCCCCAGATTCGGACGACGTCATCCCAATTCTGTAACGCCAAGCGCCAAGCGCCAGAAAAAGCGGAGAATCCCGTCTGCCTGCCGCGGATAGTCAGGGGTCGGCCGACCGAGGCCATCGAGGTTCCCAATTGTATGTCTTGGCATCTACAACCCCACTCCGAACATCGTGGAGACATCCGTGGACAACAACATTGGAACTTCCGGCCTCTCCACCATTCCCGAATGCGAATACGGATAAGAACCCCTTATCACTTACACATTTGAAGCTCGGTTTCGGTTTCATCCGGTGGCCGTGATGAAGTTGACAACACCAGGAGAAGCCGGTCTGTGGTAACTCCAAATAAACCGATCATCATCTGTTGTGCTACGGTCCAGACTCACCTCCTCACCTCCATCTGACACAAGGACGGCCGCCGAAGCGGAGAGAGTAACATTTTGAAGAAAGGGACGACCAGGTCAACGATTCATATTGGGGTTCAGTGAGCCACCATGAAACAGCTCTGCTCTTAAGCTCAAGAGCTAGCAGCTACAGCATCATCATGTAACCCGGAGCGTATTCGTTTATCACTCAAGAGTCAAGATCCACCATCCGCAATTGGGAAACCTGGCGGGCTTACCACGGTATCGGTGAGGTGTGTTGCCACCTCAGCCTCTAGTATAAGGATGCGTTGATGCCCTCTTCTAGTTTGCTTGTCTTTTGTATTATTAACACCTTCCGTATAGCCACCACCGCCTTTATACATCACAGGTTAGTAGCTACCCAGACTGTCTCTTTCACTCACCAAGACTTACTTTCTTCATAGTTCCTAGTTCTTATCACTCCAAATCAAGATGGCATCCGCTCAGGGCAAGACTGTTCTCGTTACCGGCGCCGCCGGTGGTCTCGGCAAGGTGATTGCTGAGACCTTCCTCACTGCTGGTGCCAACGTTGTCATCTGCGACGTCAACCAGCAACGTATTTCCGCTGTCGCGGAGGAGTGGACCAAGACCTATGCCGACCGCTTTTTCACCAAGCAAACCGACGTGTCCAACGAGGCTGCAGTCCAGGAGCTCATCGACGCTTCCGTCGCCAAGTTCGGCCGTCTCGACGTTCTCGTCAACAACGCCGCCATCATGGATGACTTCTCCCCGGCTGGCGACTGCTCCAAGGAGCTCTGGGACCGCGTCATGGCCATCAACCTTACCGGTCCTTTCCTCACCACCAAGGCCGCCGTGAAGCAGTTCGAGAAGCAGGAACAGGCGGGCGGCGTCATCATTAACATCGGCTCCAACGCCAGCTACATGGGCTTCCAGTCCGGTGCCGCCTACACCGTGTCCAAGGCCGGCGTCATGGCGCTGACCAAGAACACGGCCGGCTTCTACGCCGACAAGGGCATCTATTGCATGGCTCTGCTGCTGGGCGGCCTGGCCGGCACCAACATTGTTGATTCCTTTGCCAAGGGCATGCACATGGAGATGTATCAGAAGGTCATGGCCAACCAGTCGCCCTTTGAGCCGGGCAAGAACGATACCCCTCTGGAGTCCATTGCCAAATACTGCCTGTTCCTGTCGCAGAGCGATATTGCGCCCGTGTCGAATGGTTCTTGTGTCGTTTTCAACAAGAATTGGCCTGTGGCGTAAAAACATGTATGGAGGTTGTTGGAGGAAAGTTCACAAGAGATGGTAGAAGGAATTAAGTGCCATAGTTCAAGGCCACATTGAAAAAGGTCTTAAATACCCAGAAGTTACACAGTCCACCCCCGTGCCTTCCTTCACTGAGTCCAAACATCATCGGACGAAACCTGGATCACCTGCGTGCCCTTGATAAGCGGCCAATCCAGGCAGAGTTGGCAGGATCTCCTCGGGACCAGGTAGCTCAACTGGTCCCATTGAGGGTCTCTTCAGTGTGCCGCACTCCCCCGGTCCACGAAGAGGTCCCGCGTTCGACTCGGTTGCACGTCACGATTTCTTTCGAGCAAAGCTGGGATTTTGTGTGTCGCCAACGTCCTCCGTGTTCGCTCCCGAGGAGAGTAGTGCCCTGCTACTGTGAATCTTGTTTTCTTTTTTTATCCATTTTATTCATCATCACCTCGTCTACCACAACCGTCAACACCAATGACTCATATGTTCTCGGAACAAATGGATTTGAAGCAGTAATCCATCCAGAATGAGGGAACGATAATATTATAAACAGTCAAAAGGAGTGGATGAACCAAGTATTTACAAGTCCCCCAAATCCCAACCCCTGATGCGCATCAATAACTTGCCCAAGTCCAACTCAGATCAAAGGAGTGTCGTGAAAACTGAAACCCGAACCCGAACCCGAACCCAACTGCGTCCGTCCGTCCGTCGTAGTCCTCTCATCTCGACCCTTTCCCTCAAGTCTCAACTTCCATGTGTCCGCGACCGCTTTACCACTTGGCAGGAATGCAATAAGGGCTTCCGTTGGCCTCCAAGAACTGGCAGACAGTCTTCGGGGGGCAGTCACCGGCGTACTATAAGTGTCCAACAACACCATGTCAGTTTTTGTTCCTGTTTCGGAAACCCAAAAAAAAAAAAAAAAAAAAAAGTTCTTGAAGGAGACTAGAAGAGAAGAGAAGGGTTAACTTACCACCCACTTGCTGTTGACATCGCAAACCTGCCATCCCTCAGCGTGGGTGCTGGGGTTCTTGGCGCACGAGTAGGTGGCCGGCGTGCACTGAGCGGGGTTGGTGCCGGTGGGAGTGGCGACGGCCACGGCGGCGAGGGTGAGGATAGCGGTGATGAACTTCATTTTGTTTTGAGGTGTTGTCTGGTTGAAGAGTTAAGCTGTTGCTTGTTGGAGACTGTTTGTCTGGGTTGGTTTGATGAATTAAGTGGATGATTGTTGTTGGTGATGATGGGGAAATAGTAGGAGGGGAAGAGGCAGACGAAGACTTTAAATACTCCTCGGTCATACGTTGAGTGTATGGTGAGAAAATTCCGAACTTTTCACCCTTGAGGCTCGGTTCTCGTGTTGAACGAAGTTACGAAGATTACGAAGCAAAAGCGAGGACGTAACGACAAACACGCGGCTACAACCTAACTCTGCCTCTACGTATCCATTCATCCTCGACACGACACGAATTCCCGACTCCCGACGACGTCCCGCTCCCGCTCCCACTGACACCCTCACTCCAGTCTCTTTCCGGCCCTCCTTCACAAGAATGCGAGTCTATTTCCATCTCTCCCCGTATACTCATCCTGAGGAGGTGGCGTGGCGGTGAGGGACGGACGAACAACCCTCCATAAAAAGACAACATGATCAGAATCTTGCGTCAGAATTGTCGATTCTTAGAACCCAAAGTAAGTGGCTTGGAGGATAACACCAATCGAAGAATATGTCCTCTGCTGCCTCTCCTCTCTTTCTTTCTTTTATCCCACTGCCTCGTGTTACGACAGTACGAGGCTCGGCGCAGTAAATATTCTTACGTACACTGGCGTAGGAAGGAGCACAGCAACTTCGCTACTACGGGAATAGTTCCTGAAGTCTATATCAGGACAACTACGAAGATGCAGAAGACGTCAGTAAGACATATTATTTCTGCTCATACCTAGGTAAGATGGGACTGGAATGATACGCAAAAACGAAAGTGACGGGATACCTTACCCATCAGTGTTCGTATACACAGTAAAAGATGGCCTTCAGAACAATCAAAACGCACTCACACTCCGATTTGGCCTGTATACTTACACATCCTCAATTCAACGGTTACCTCAATCTTTCTCAAGTCACCTTATCCATCCAGTCAACCCTCCAACGATTAAGCAAGACATAAACCTGCCTCATCTTGTTTCCAAATCCGGGGTACACTACAATTGTTGCCGCCATTGCCGTTAACGTAAGGCTGGTGGTCATCATTCGGAATCTACCTTACCTATGTGGCGTGGTATGCTGACCGGTTGAGTCCTGCTCCCTTGTCATACCTTATTGGGAATATCTCCGAACGAGAACATAATCTTTGTTTCTTTCCCACACCACACCAACTTCCCCGCAAAAGCCTCCAAGCCAGCTTACTTACATACTCCGGTTCAGCCGCAGCCACGCATTCCAACAGCCCATGGAGTAACAACCATCAGATCTCGGGTTGGTTCTTGGGGAAGGAAGGAGCGATTGATTACCTAAAAATACGCGAGTGGCTACCGACTACCGAACTTCCTTACCGAGAGCCGTCCCTCCTCCAAGTAACATTTGAATACGATAATCGCGGCACACCACCACCTGGCAGTCAGTGATCGTGTTGCTTCCAACTTGGGTTGGGCGTTGTGAGCAGGTGGTGAATCTGGTCCCAGAAGAGGACGCTTCGGTAACAACACGAGGTTTTCTGCATCTCGTGAAGTAAGTCCATGGATGGTCAAGGGCAACGTGCTATGCTCGTTATATCGACGCGAGGCTTTCACCGAGACTATACTCCCACCGAAAGTTCTATACACAAAGAAACAAAATTCGCTCTGCATACTCGATTAGATTCAATTCAAGCCACGTCATACAACGTTTCACTTCTCTTCACATGCCATTACCACCATCAGTCAACTACCACAAGAAACCCAATGACCAACGCCACAATGCTCCCTTGACACTCAGCCGCCAAAACACCACAACCACTCCTCCCATCACCAACATCAGCCCTTGTTCTCAGCAATCAATGTCTTCGCCAGATCCCTCAGCTTAAACTTCTGAATCTTCCCACTCGCCGTCTTCGGATACTCCTCAACCCAAAACACGTGCTTAGGCACCAAATGCTTCGACAGATGCTCGGCAACCCACTCCCTAACCTCGCGTCTCGACAGCGTCTTCTTCCCCTCACTTCTTCCCTTCGCCGTGCTTTCTAGGGAAAGCACATCCCCCTCCCCACCTTCGCCCTCGACGGGCTCGACGTCCTTGTGCACAATAATAAAGGCGCCCACGCTCTCGCCTAGCTTCTCGTCCGCCACGCCGACGACGCTGGCCTCGGCAATCAGCGGTTGCTGGAACAGACAGTTCTCGATCTCGAGCGGGTGGATGTTCTCGCCGCCGCGGATGATCAGGTCCTTGATGCGGCCCGTGATCTCCACGTAGCCGTCCGAGTCCATGCTGGCCTCGTCGCCCGTGTACATCCACGTCGTGCTCGAGCCGCTTCCGTCGTTGTCAGGCTCGGTGATCATCACCTCCGCTGTCCGCTCTGGGTCGCCCCAGTAGCCCTTCATGACCAGGTACCCCGCGGAGGCGAGCTCGCCGCGCTCGCCAATGGGCAAGATTCGCGTCCTGTCGAGTGGGTCGACGATCTTGACTTTGGTGTGCGGCATCGCCTTGCCGACGGAAGTGGTGCGCTTCACGAACGGGTCTGAGGGCGCTGTCATGAGGCTCACGGGGCTAGTCTCCGTCATACCGTAGCAGATCACCAAGTCCCGCAGACCGATCTTCGCGTAGAGTCTGCGCATCAGACTCTCGGGCACGGAGCTGCCGGCTGCAATGCCCTTGCGCAGGTGATTAGGGAAGTCCTCGATGTCCTTGAGCGGTATGAGCGGGTTGGAAAGATGTGATTGCGCCCCGATCAGCTCGAGCATGGCCACAAACATGGTGGCAACGCCGTAGAGACCGGTGGCCTTGTGGTCGGCCGCCATGCGCAGCGAGGCTAGTGGATCGAAGGCTGGGCTGGGGAAGAGGATGACGGCGCCGGTGGTGGCAGTGGCCATGTAACCTAGAATGCACCCGAAGCAGTGGAAGAGCGGAGGAGGCACGACCATGCTGTCGGTGGGCTCGAGGCCCATGCGATTGGCGATCAACGCGCCGTTGTTGAGGATGCCGGTGTGAGTGAGCATAGCGGCCTTTGGGTGCGAGGTCGTGCCGGAGGTGAACTGGATGTTGATGGTTTCGGAAGGGCAGAGTGGCGCGTCAGGGGTTACCGGTGCGCCGGAGCCATCCATAAGGATCGAAAAGGGGATTAGTGACCGGCATGACGATAGCGGTGGAAAGTCCGCAGTAGGGTGAGAAGGCGTGTTGTCGAGGACAACTACTGTTCGTAGTGATGGCACGTTGGGGGCTTCGATCTTGCCCGACTCTAGATCGGGAACAATGTCCCGAAGGAGCGGGAGGTTGCTCCGTCCACGGCATGGTTTGTAGGCCAGGTCTGTAACAGCACCAATGATCAGAAGCTCGACGTCGAGATGGTTCAGGGCAGCAGACACCTGCTTGGCGTTGAATCCAGGATTCAAGGGCACAAGGATGGCACCGAGCTTAAAGACGGCGTAGGTGATGGCAGCGTTTTCTGCGCAGTTGCCCAAGCTAACAGCCACTCTATCGCCTTTTTTAACCCCAAGAGACCGTAGAGAATGCGCAAGACGGTTGGACACCTGATCAAGCTCCTCGTATGTGTAGGCCGTCTCTAGAGCTTCGGGAAGCTGGCCGGGCGCGAGGTTCGGGAAGGCATCAGCGATAGCCGTTGGCGATCGCGCTATCACCGCAGGACGGTCGCCATGTTGGGAGACGACCGAAGCGAAGTGTTGAGGGATGGTGTCTTGGATCAATGGCGGCTATAACGGGGTTGTTAGCAATGGATCGCCAAGTCTTCTCTTCAACATCATGATAGTGTAACAGTAGCCTACCTCAGTTGGGCCTTGGGCAATGCTCCTAGTCAATCCGCTGATTGCCCTTGCCGTCTGACATCTTGGTCTATAAGCCTGTGGATTTCGCCATGCTTTGAACAGGCTTCGTCTGAAGGCCGTATCGCAGAGGCCGGTGGAGGTGGACAGGCTGGCCAGCCGAGGTCGGCAGAGCATCGTGTGGGCGTGTGTGTGGGAGAAGTCGTCTGTGATGATATCCGAAGATCCTCCTCCTTGTCTCGTGTGCCCTATTACTCGAAGTGCTCAACGTGCTCTCGTCACCTCATCATAGAACCAGCAGAGTAAAACAACAAGAGAGTATCAACGTAGAGAGAAGGAAGGGGAAGCAAGCCTCGAGTGAAGAGACAATCCAGCCATCTTGCACTCCCAGCCGGCCAAGACATAGCTCGACCTGAGACCAACTAGTTTGGAGCAGAGACCCATCGCCGTTGCACACTGTTGACCAGGCGATCTTCGGTATGGTCTCTTGGGTTTGCTATCTGAACAAGGAAAGGCCGCCGCCGCCAAAACACGGGGTAGGTAGTGCACTGGCGGTGGACGATAGAGTGATGAGGCAGTGCGGGGTAAGGTCAATGAGAGATGACCATCATTGCCAATGCCTCGGGGTATCGTCACCACATCACTGGACGCAGTTGGGGGAGTTGCATCGATTCAATTGGACGTAGCTCGGATGGGGAGCTTCCCCAGATTCCTCCCCCGCATTGCTTGGCAGTTCATCTGCATCTGCTAATGTTTTCTCCCGCTGGCCCTGGCCCTGAAATGGTTGGTCAACTTGAATGCAATTGATGTCGTTGCTGGCGAGGTGCTACATGCGTCCTGAGTTCATGTTCTCCAACGAGACTATCTCGGGCTGCACTGCTTCGTTTCTTGACGTGGTGGTTACAAGGTGATGTTTGTGGGAAAGCAACGTACCAGTTACACTGCACTTTGACACTGACAGACAAGGCCGGATGGAGTACCACGGCACATCCTGTCTGCTTTCATAACTTGTGTCGAGCTGTAGATCTTTGACTGGGTGTTCAGGAACTCGTCGTCATGGCGTGCTGCGGAGAATGTCAACAATTCACGTGTAAAACCGACCCTAAGCGAATTCCGCTCAAGATGTCATCAGGGTCCGCGGTAGCTCCACCATGATGGACCGTGATGGAGCTCACAGCGCGGGGTGAAGCGGAGCCGGGCATCACCGGCGGCGGGACCGGGATGGGGCCCACTACATCCAGGAAGGGAAGGATAAAGAGTTCCGGGTTCGGTGACGATTTCGGACCTTGTGCCGTCCTAATTTATTCTTCAAGGACCTCTCTCTTTCACTACCGGCAAGACTGTGCCAGGTATAACAAAGATGTGTACAATGCTGCCTCCCGTTCTTTCGCTTTCCTTCTTCTTATCATAACATCGTAAGATGTCTCGAAATCGAGTTCCCATCTCCATCCATACTTTCACACTCCGCCTTTTGTATACACCCTCTCTTTTCTATATCCCCTTTCCCGATATTGCCCCGTCTGTACGGTCGATATTTATATGAAATGAACTCTCCCTGGCTGAAGCGTAGCATAGACGCACACAAACGCCGTAACCATGCTGATGAAATAGTTGCGTAAAAAATTACAAGTTGTAGAGCGTCGAGGCTGGGAAGTGGGCTTGGTCGCCGACATAAAAACGAAGACGAAGAAGTGAAGGCCGCTGAATTCTGCTGCGAAGCCTTACTGCCGTGGCTTTTATTTGTTTTCGCCAATGTGGCGCTCGCTCTCGGGTTTCCATGTGCCTGTAAGTTGCAAGTTGCGTTAGCCTTGTATGTCCGCCTGTCAAGAGGGACGTTGTTGCGTGGAAGACTTACCCTCAAAATCATGCTTTACAAACGCCATGGGGTCATCGTAGTCCTTGGCGCCCATTTGGCCCACGCCAGGGGAAAAGCTCGTGATGGGGAGAACGACAACGTCTCCTACCCGCTTCGAGACCTCCATACCCGTAAAGTTCTTCCAGTCAATCGATCCCGCCGAGTGTGTCATGTCGAAATAACGCTTGTCGTTGAAATACTCAAAGATGACGTCGGTCCAGAGAGCAGGCCCGGTGAACTCGATGACATTCTTATCAAGCACGCCCCTCAGCGTCCCGTTTCTCTTCATCGCCAGCGTCGCATTCGTGATGCGTGAAACAACCTCCCGCAGCACAGGATGACCAGGCTTGCTCTGGATTGTCCACTGGCAGAACTGGATCCTCCGGCTGTACCACTCCTTCCAATCCGGCCTATCTGGATCGGCCTCGATGCCAATCACCAAGCCAATGGCGTCCTTGGGGACCGAATCGGGAATCCACTCGACGGCACTCCGAATCGCATACGTGTCGATGTCCGAGTAGATGCCGCCCCTCGCCAGCAAGATTAGATAGCGGAAGAAATCGGCCTTGAGCACCGGCAAGGGAAGCGCATTGTAGGCCTCCACCACCTCGGGAACTGATGCGTAGAGCAGGCGGATAAGATGTACGGCGACCTTGTCTGTGATAACTTCGTGGATGAACCCTGGGTGTTGCTGTGTCCATGTAGCCTCTTGATCGCGGAAGTTGAACTCGCTGTGCGCCGGCGTCCACTTCCACGTCTGCCAAATGTATGCGGGGAACTTGGATTCCACATCGTAGGGAAATTGATATGCGAGCTTCTCGTATAGTGTCATTCTCGACATGTCTTGGATCGGCCGCTGGCCCTGGGGGTTTTGTTGGGCGGAGTTGGCACCCGAGGGGCTCTTGTCGGTTACAGCAGTGGTCGATGCATGCTTGGCTGCCTCGACATCGGCGTCGGCTTTGGGGACAGCAGGGGTCGTTATTGATGGAGGATTCGACGAGGATGATGATATAAGGTAGAAGATGGTGAGGAAGAAGGCCGCCGCCACCAGGGCGCGGCGGAAGGTGAGCATGGTCGAGAAGTGTGGTCGAGGCGGCTGTCGCGCAGAGACAAAATGTCATTAGCGTCTGTAACTGGCATTGGGGTAAAGGGGAAAACGCATTTGGCTATGTACTTACATACTGCAGTGCTTGACAGCGCCTCTTGCACCTTGCCCAAGCGACTGGGCCGACGTAACTTTTTGACCGATCTCCGGACGCTGTGGAAACGCTTAGCTGCTGCCCCTAAGGTGTGGTGACGTGCATCGACGCGTAGCGGAAGTCCGATCCGAGCTGGTGGTGTGAAGTTCGAGGTTTGAGTCCAAGGCGGCAGGTGCAATTGATGGCGTTGTGTCGTAGGAATGGGGACAAGATCAATCTGTGACAAGGACCGAGCTGGAAGAGCACACTCTTTGATTGATGATCAGGACAAAAAGTCCTTTTGCAACGGATTTGCGTAACAGGGGCGTTGCCCTGGCCGACAGCTCGAGAGGATCGATTTCCTTGAAATGGTTGCGAAGCACTGCCCGCTGGACGAAATGCCCCCAAGATGCGTGGGGCCGATGATCCTACCAGCGGATGCTAGGGTCTTGGCTGTGGGGAGTGCTCCCAGGGGTGTCCGTGCAGCCCGGCGGCGTGTAAATACGCTAGTTACCTTGACGGGACGAGGGGACCTATTCTGAGATATTGTGACGAAGATCTTGTACGTTCTTTGTTCGTGAGCCGAGAGATAGGTGGCTGTAACCAGTATCTTCTCCTGAGGATCGTGCTGCGTTTACCGTTTGATACTCTGGGAAAGATTTACCTCTCGTTTCAGATACATTAGTCGCAACAGCGTCGAAGCGCAAACGCCACGCGGCCGAAAATCCGTGGTCAACGTAGTCACTACAACAGGCCGCGTACTTACTCCCATCTCTGGACCTCCAGATGCCCACTTCAACGTATCCAAGGAGAACAGTGGGAGGAGAGCGAAGGGTCTGAAACCGAACAGCTTTAAGACATGCTCAAGAAGTCAACACCGTTTGGTCGCCACTTACGACCGCAGCAAGAGTTGACAGCGGGGTTTAGACCCGTCCGTCCTGTCCGCTCGTTGGCCGACTGATCACACACGAGTAACGGCCCAAACCGGACGAAACCTCCAGATATGGGATGAAAACCACTGACACATCCGGGTACCTTGCCGTTGCGCATGTCATGCTTCAAACGGATCTGTGTGTTGTATGACCGACACGCATTAGGACGTGCAAAGTTGGAACTTCAAAAAGCTTGCGCAACCCCCACCTCGGCAATGTCGAAATCTGCAACGCAACGGGCCCAAATCTCACCATTAACAGCACACATGAACACACAAAAAGTGACAGCTTCAGTGGTCATCCAATCGATAGGATCAAACTGCGTGCCATCCTGTTCCAGCATGAAATCGGGTTGTCTCACATCAGTACCCCCTTTCCTCTCTCCCGTCCCTCCGTGTCGAGATCATCGTTCTTTTCTTTCCTTCTTTCTTTCGTTCGTTGCTCGTCTCGGCAGTCAACATCCACCCGTTTGTTATCTTTTCGCGATGGCATGTCTGCCGTGGGCGTAAAAGATCGTCGACTTCCTTATCTGGGCGATTTCGAAAGGGGTCCGTGTCTGTAATTCGAGATTGAATGCCGTCCTTCGGTTGCAACAAGATGGCGCCTAGCGTGTCCAACGGCGCCGCCAATTTTGGGTTTCAATCTGGGGTAATCTTACCGGCGGTGCGGCGATCTCTTCGTGCTTTAATTGTGAGGTATCATTTCACGCGGTTTGATTGGTTACTCTCTGTAGAAGGTGGGGTTCATTTTCGGGCACCGAAGATGAAACACGCACTGCCCTGCTGCCCGCTGGAACCGTTCTCGAGAACGCCATCCCGCGAGTCTCCACTGACTGCCAAGGACGACTGCCGACGGGACTTTGCCAAGGGTCCTAAAAGATGGATGTTCTCTCTTTTTTCTTTGGAGTTGGGAAGGGGACAAAGACGTCATTCATCACCACCACTTATCTACTTTGAACCCTTCTCAAATTCCGATAACGCCACTTCACGATTAGATGGTTTTGTTCAGTATCTGATCCAAGTGTGCCATCTATACACCCCGCAAGTGTGTGTCGCTCGCACAGGAAGTCGAATCCGTGACCGAGAGGGTCGGAGCTGAAGTGTTCAGACTTCAGACAAGGGTTAGGGTTCTAGATCAGGACATCTTCGATCACCGAGGCGAACTTTCCAAACTTTACTGAGCCTGACCATTGGCATCGTAGATGTCAAGGTTTGCTTAAAGGCATTTGCTTGGTTATCATCCGGAGTGACACTCTCTATCAAGGGTTCTGTTTCGATCAGTTCTTTCACGGTCTCCATAAAACACACCAACTCGTAGCTCAAGAACAACTCTACCGAACGACATACATGCGACCCAATAGGGTATCATTCAAATTTCAACCCGTTCACCGGTCCGCCCTAGGCAACTTGCCTCTGCGACGACT